TAAATCAGGATATTTGTGACAATGACATTCAGTACTATTTAATAAATCTCTAATTAGATGACCCATAGTTGTTCTGGATGGAATTTGAGACAGCCAGCTCACCCTGGCTCAACAGAAAAGACCACAGCGCACAATCTATCATCAGCCTGACAAACTGGGCCACAAGCACAGTGGCCCAAAATGAAGCAGCACAACCATGGCTTAGCATGAACCATAGAATGCAGCTGGTAAAGCTGGAATACTGCTTGGGCTGGAGATTAAATTACTGTCTCAGTATCATGAGCAGCCACAGCCTCTTTGAGGGATTCTTTTATCTGCATTAATAAAGTGGCACAATTCTGTACCTCCAATTTTTTTTACTCACTTCACTAAAATTCAGGGAATCATATGACAGTCCTGTGTCATGACTAACCTGCTAATAAAGGCAGGAATGTGGAAGGAGGGAGTTTAGCACAAGAACTGGATGCTAATGCTTGTTTCCCAGCCACCTCTTCAGCTTAAGCTCTTGTGCCCCCCACACTAGTTCTAACACCTCCTATCTGCCACACAAGCTAGTTTTGGACTTGTATTTGGTACATCTACAGCAGCTGTATTAGCACTGGATCAAACAGCTATCAAAAATCCATACACAACAGCCAACTGGACAGAAAGAGACTAACTTCTGTCAATAAAATACTAAAAAGAAATACTAAAAGATATTATTCACTATTTACCAATCTACTGAAGCTTGCTGGAAACAAATCCATTACTATAAGCAGTGGTACTCAATGACAAAAAGGTCCCCATTCTTAGTGCACCTTTCTGCTGTCAGACACCACAGAATGGTTTGGGTTGGAAGGCACTTTCAGGATCATCAAGTTCCCAGCCCCTACCATGGGCATGGACAACTCTACTTGGCCAGGCTGTTCAGGGCCCCATCCGACCTGCCCCTGAGCACTTTCAGAAATGGGACATCCACAACTTCTCTGGACAACCTATTCAAATGCCTCACTATCCTCTAAGCATCCCTTCCTAACATCCAATCCAGATGGCTCATCTTTTAGCTTAAACCCATCTCCTACCACTCCCTGCCCATGGAAAGAGTCACTCTGTTTTTCACAAGCCACCTTTAAACACAGGGAGGCTGTAATGAGGCCTCCCCAAGAGCCTTCTCTTTTCTGTGCTGAAAAGCTCCAGCTCCCTCAGCCTGTTGAGTATTTCTGTTTTGCATCTGAACAGACCACACTGAGTAGGACTGCAGCAGTCTTCACAAGCTAAACCTTTGAAGGGACATGATATATTGCTGCATTTCTACTTTTGAGCAACATCTACTACATGACCATGCCACACTAACAAGCTCACAGATGGAGCAGTCACAGTAAGAAGTTTCAGTACAGTTTCTTTTCTCCAACACTTAATAAGCACAAAAACCCAGTAGCTAAGATTTGTTTGGTTTCTGAGCTTACAAGGGACACAAACTCTTGCCTTCTGTGACAGGACTAACTTCAGCTGTACTTATGGGATGCTAGAGTCTCCAGTTCAGTAAATTCCCAACTCTGGCACAGTCCAAGTCTCCAAATTGGCAGTATTGTCTCCCATTTTCTTCCTAAAGATCCTCAAAAAGTACCATATTGCATCAACTGCTCATGAGCCATTCAATCACTGGTTCTTTTCATCAAAGACTGCTATTGACAGCATTTCAGGGCTAGTGCTGCATTATAAACATGTCTGAGCAGGACCTCACTTATGAAAGTAGCTACTTGGACCTTAATACTGCTCTCCAAAGCAACCAGTAGTTCATCAGAAAGGCTCTACTTCAAGTAACAAGGTCATGCTGGAAGGACAAAACAAACTAATGCCCCACTTCACTACACAGAGGTCACAGCAGTGAACCTGGTACAAATTCCCACTAATTCCAGGATTAGGAGGCCACACAAGAGCTTTAAGGTTGCCTCTTTAAGTGAGGAACTCAACTGTTAAGAATTGTAGAACCAGCCAATAAACTATTTTCCTGCTAAAGCAAAACCTTACTAATCTCAATTTTTTTTCAGAAAGATTCATTGTAACAGAAAGCCTAAAGCAGTGTGCAAAGGAAGTTCTTGTCCTGCTCCTGTTTGAGCACTGAACACAGTCAGTCCAAATCCAGGTGGATAAACTGATCAGCTCTCAGTCACTGGAACTCCTTTTTCTCTTGCAAATAATGCAAATTCATTTGGTTAGTGACTACCAGCCAAATTCATGACTACTGTGACCCACAGGCATCTCTTTTTATGATTAGCTATGATCTCATCCTGTAGAAATACTTCTTCACTGAATACCCCAGCTATCAGATTATCAGCTACTTCTGGATGAAGTAAGTTTGTTTCAGGTTTTACCCTGAAACAAAATAAACTTAAATCTAAAATCCTTTGAACACTTAACTAGCCTGTAGCTGAGAATAACACTTCACTTAATTTTACAGGCTACCAATTCAGTGAAGCTGAAGTGCTCTTGCTACCCACAACAGAAGGTCAATCTAGCAATGACTTATTAACTCACAGTTTAGAATTTTTGTTTTTGAGAGTCCCTGTCTCAGTGATTCTAGCTCCACTAGCCAAAAGCCTTTAAGAGGTGCCCCTCAAAACTCCTTAATAACTGCAGCTTTCCTGAGAAAAAGCATACCTTACTTCACCAACAATTAAAACCTGCATATCTCCATTTTCCCACCAGGTGCTTCGTTCTGCTCCCGTTCAAACAGGAATGTTTGTCAAGCCACACAATGAGGAGTCACATTAGAAAGCCATCCATTACTATTTGGCTTATGTTTCATCCATTCTTCACTTCTATTCCCCCCAGGATCACTTGCAGAAGCAAGAATGAACAGCTGAAAAAGTGCAGGATCATCTTTCAGCATGAGCACTTTTAACTGTCGCAACTATGACATTAGTGCATAGCTGGATCTATTACACTGTGAGTATCTCTCTCCTTTCTCCCCTAAATACCCTTGAACTCCTGTCAGTCCCTTTGTATGGCTAAAGGTAAACAACTGTTTAAACAGCAGGTCTTAGCAAGGGCTCAGACCACACATGCATGCACAGACAGGCTACCAAGGCAAGTTAGAGCCACAGGTCTGACTGCTGGAGAGCAGCCAGCCCATTGGAGTATCCTCCTTAAGGAACAAATTGAAGTGCTGTAGAAATTGTTTGTTTCCCTGGTAAGCTACACACCATTTTTTACCCAGTCTCCTACAGCTCTTTTCTTCCCTTCAAGATTAAAACAGCTTGCATCAGAATGGCTGTAGGGCACTCTGTCTCAAAGAAATAGACACATTTTGGTTTTACTCATCTCCTGCAGCACAAATAATTCAGAATTTATATGGCATTGTTTTGAGACTGCACTGCAACACTACCAGAGCTACTGCTTCTTTCAAGGTAACTGCTTTCCTGAGAATTGCTAATAAAAACAACCTTGAAACAAACAAGGAATTACTACCAGGTCATTAAAGCTTGCCTTCATTTCTATAGCTTCATAAAAGCACAGCCACACCTCCATTCAAGTACTGCTGCAATAGAGAGCTTTTAAAGTAATTCATTTCTTGGTTTTCAAGCAAAATCTGTTATCAAAGTGAGGTACCTAAAAGGCTGCTTTAAGAATTAACATTCTAGCTATATAAACTATTCTATAACATAAGCATTCAAACAGTCCTTACACAGTGAGGCAGGCAATTACTGTTTCACAATTACAGAACACATGCCTAAACACAAATACTAATAAAATGTTTTTTCCCCTCATCTTTAGTTGAAATTAATGTTCTCCCTTTAACACATCTCTTTAACACATCTGCAACAGTCTTCACAATGTCAAGTCCCACATAAATCAGTGCTGTTCTAAAAGAATCACTGTACACTGAAAGCCTCTCTGGAAGCTTCCATTACAAAGGAGTATTTACCTTGTGTCATATGATGCCTACACAAGAAGAATCAATAATCCAGTCATTTTAATGTTTGATCAACAAACCAACTGCCTCCTCCTAACACCATTTCCAGTAAGCTTTTTCTTTTGGTTCACAATCTCTAGGCCTCAAGAATCTTGCTCTTTATAGTCCACACAGAAGTCAGTTGGCACAAGGCCCCCCTGGCAGCCACCTTCTGACACTCAAAGGAGAGGAGCCTGCTCTCACAGAAAACAGAGCTTACATCCTAAAACCTAAGCTCAAATGAGACTACAGACATATGAAAGCTTCACACTCCGTCATTCCTAATTACTGCCTTCTCCCTTTCTTTCCTGGTATCCTCTGTAAACCTACAAAGGAAAAATGTAACACTGTTAGATGCTTCCAATCCTGTTTTTCTACCCCTCCTCCCACAACACAGGGATGCCCTGCAGGCTATATATGCGACCAATATGAACTACTTACAGCAGCTCCCAAGTCCCCAGTCAGTTCTTATATAACTGAACTCCACCTCACCATATTACTTATGTAACACATATTAAAGAGCAGCTATTATACAAAAATCTTCTCTATTAGTCATACACTCAGTTACTTTCATTCCTGTTCTCAAACAGCACATTTGTGAAATAGTCAAGCTTTATGCCCATTCAGGTTGCCACTGTGGAGGTAAAAAGAAAGAAAATCCATCTATCCAGGGAGAGACTAAGAATTGAAAAAGTGAAACATTTCCAAATAGAACAAACCAACATCTTTAAATCATCAACAATTTTAACTGTTAATTTGTTCATTGGGTTAGATGCCATGGCTAAATTTACACTGTGGCATACAAGAACAAGACATGGGAACTAGCACCGAATTGCTTTGAAAATATGAGAAGCTCAACCAAATTGTAACAGGAGTTGCATTCCTTAAAGAAAAGGGTTAGGATTGGAAAACATACATTTTTCACATCCCATCCAGCAAATATTGAAATTTTTTTTAAAAGACCCGGAAAAATATATTTGCCAACATTCCAGGCCTATGTAATAAGTTCATTTGCCTCAAAGTAAAACATGGGGAGTCCTCACAATATTTGCAGACCATATTTTTCATTTGCACTAAGTACAAACATCAATTCCCGTGTTAAAGATGCAGGCCATCTGCGGCCTGACTTTGGAATACACCTATCGCTCCACAGAAAGCTGCTCAACTCCTGCAACAGGATTCAACAGCACACAAAGAACAGCGATCCACTTCTCCTGTTCAAACAGAATAAAGTCATAAACACCTGAGAGATTTTCCCTGGGCCTCCCCACCCGTACCCCCGGCAGAGCAACACTGGAACAGCCATGACCTCCTCGGCAGAAGAACAACTCCGCACGGCCTGTAACATTTTCCTCAGCGGCTTTAATGAGGTCATTTAGACATCGCTTAAAACGACTGTTCCAGTAAGAACCACTCCATAACCCCCTGCAACTTAACTTAGAGCAGAGTGCCTTCGCACCGAGCCGGCTCCCACGCTCGGGCGGAGCCAGCAGGCACCCAGGGGGAACTTTCCCTGGCGGTGGGTAAAGCCTTGCGCAGAGAGGGGGCGGAATGGAAAGCTTCCCCCAAGAGGAGCTACACCCTGGAGGTGGGTGGAGAGTAAAGAGAGAAGCGAGAACCTTCCTCGGCAGCAGCTACACCCTCGTGCATAAGGCTGATGGGGGAAGGGAACCAGCGCGGGACCGACGACGTTGTGCAGGAGGAGGGGGAGGGAAGCCCGGGCTCTCCCGGGCAGCCGCCGCCGCCTAAGCCAGCTTGGTCCGCAGCCAAACCCCACAGGAATGCAACGCGGTCACATGACCTCCGGCGGACGTGCAACTCCCTTCCCTCTCCAGGGACACCCTGCGCCATCTTGTACTGACGCAGTTACAAAGGCAGGCGTGAGTTGCTCCCCTCTCGCTCGTTTCCCGCTCCTCTCAGCACAGCCCCGGCACTATTCGGGAAGGAGAAGCCCAGGCCCGATCCTGCTTTTCTTTTAGCCAGCTCTTCGGGGACGCCCTGCCCGCGGAGTCCTCCCTGGCGCTGAGATCATGGCGCCCGTTTTCTCCCTTTGCCTCCCCCGACAGCTCCCGACCCTGCCCAGCTGCGGCTGCCCCTGCTGCAGGATGATGTCAGCGCCAGCCAATCAGGGCGCGCCGGGCCACACGGGCCGGCCCGGCCATTGGCTGCCGCGCCGCTCCCGCCCCCCTCCTGACTCGGGCTCCGCCGCGGTTCGCTGCGGAGCCGCAGCCAAGGCACAAGTGCGGGGAGGGGAATAGGAGGGGAAGGGAAAAAAAAAACCCTACACAAAAAACCGACAACCAAACCCACCAAGACGCCAGCCGCCATTTCGCGCAACAACAGGCAGAACCCGAGCGAACAGCCCCAGCCAAGCGCCCTAAGGAGAGAGAGAGAGAAAGAAACAAGAGACACACGCACAGAAGAGTTAGACAGGAAAAAAAATACCCATAGACTCCGCCATGATCACAAGAGGTTTAATCGCCCCCCCTCCTCCCTCAGACTTAATGCCCCATTACAGCCGCCTCCTCTGCGTCCAACCAGCTAGCAGATCCCTTCACCTCGGCTCCCTCCTGCCGCAGCAGCAGCTCTTTAGAGCCCCAAACTCTCTGTGCCCAAGGTGTGGGGGGACGCTAGTCTATGGCGCTGCTGCTAACTGCTTCTCCAGTCACCCGAAAGTGGCGGCTCCATCGAGGCACGGTAAGAGCTGCCAGCCCAGCTTTTATCTGGTGCCCCGAGTTTGCGCACTGAAGAAGGCTCGCTCAGCCCCTGGTGGGCGTCGAACGAAACCCCAGCCGCCGCCTCCCCTCCCTCCATCAGCCGTAGCGCTGGAGGGGCTGAAGCCGGGCAAGGGAGGCAGGGCGTCGTAGGGGTACAGCGGAGAGAAGATATGGTGGTTAGAAAGACGGGCTGCTTACGAACGGCAGGAGCTGTGTTTGCACTGAAAGGCTGAGCGAGCTCCTGGCAGTGGCAGCGCCCGCTGGTCTGGATGGAAGCGCGCCATTCCTACTCCCCAAGCGCTGTTCCCTAACGGGCAAACGAGGCTCGTTCTCTGCTTGTCTCATTCCCTGCAGAACAGAAATGCCTTCAGCGAGTGCAATCGCATTCGCTCTGAGGAAAAAAGCTTTCTCCCACTTGCCTTTGAGTCCTAAACGCTTCGGGGAAGATTCTCAGCCTCGAGTGTCTTACTGAAAGTTTCAGTCAAAACCTCCTGAGCAGGTCTGCAAAAACTCCCGCTCCTTTGTCGCTCCCCTCTTCCCCTCCCCTCAGGTAGTTCTTCTGCGTGTGTGAGATCCAGCGGGTCTGCCCGGCTTTTCGCGCAGTTTAGGCCGAAAATGTGCTGTTAGAGATTCATAAAGAACACGTATGCTGACAGCATCGACGGTCGTGAGGAAGAAGCCGGAGGTTGGGGGTGTGAGAGCGGCCGAGGAGGCAGTTTTGGCGTTTATTCCTCCGAGGATGCAGCTCTGACTCAGACACCCTCGCTCCCGCCCGCGCTCGGCCCCACAACAGGCCGGGACGGCGCCCCCGCCCCTCCCGCGCGGGCTGCGCCGCCGGGGCTGCGGATCGCCCCCGGCGCCAGCCCCCGCTGCCGCCGCCCCTCCTCCGCTGCCCTACTTCCCTCCTCACGGCCCCCCTGCCCAGCCCTGCCGCAGTCTGGTGCCGCGGCCGCGCCCAGACCCCGGAGCCGTTCTGCGTGTTGCAAAATGGACTCTGAGGGCTCGGCGGGCGCGGGCTGCGCTCCCGGCCCGTAAGCAAAATGGCGGCTGTTTGGCTTCGCCTTGGTAACCCTGCCCCTGTCAGGCGGGGCGGGTGAGCCCCGTGCAGGGGGAGGGAGGGGAGAGCGGACGCCATTTTCCCAGAGAGAGGCAGTGACATAGAAGGGAGCGTAGGAGGCTGGAGGGAGGGAGGCACGGGAGCAGCGGCGGCAGCAGCGGGGTTTGTACACAGGTCCCAGGGCAAAGGCGCCTTTGAGCTGGTCCCTGTAGGGTTCTGCGCACTGAGCTAGGTTTGGGGGGAGGGGGGGTCTCCTCTTTCCCTTTCTTTTACTAGAGCCTGCTGAGGGCTGAGTCCTGCCTAGGGTAGGGATATCCGCAGTGGGGTTGTTGCATTGTTTTGGTTGGGATAGAGAAGGGGCTCAGCTGAGGGGTCCTGCTGCCTGGCCTGTGACCATTACAGGTGAGTCTTTGGTTATTACGAGCTTATTCTGCTCTGGGTGCTTTGGGGGAGGGGGGGTGCAAAAAGAGTGAAATGCGACGGGAATGTCTCATTACCTTCGGTGCGAGTATAACTCCTTCCGACCCTGAAATGTGTTTAATTTCTGTTTAAGTTGCTTTGAATTTGCTTTTCCTTTTGTGGGGTTTGGTTAAAAAATGGCAGGCTGTCGCTATATCTTATGAATATGGCGGGTTACTGTAACTGGAGGAGCTGAGGAGAATTTTTTGGCAGTTACGCCAGATTTATGCATTATGCTCGGAAAATGAGCCAAAAGGAGCTATTATGTGACAACATAGGCTTCCTTGGGCTGGCGGTTTTCAGAACGGGTTTGTGCGTTATTGGGACTGCGTATTGAGTTTTACGAAGCTTGGGGAAGCCTATTCTTTTCCTCCATCCTGTATATTTTTGCTCTGTGGTACTAAAATGGCTCTTTATAGGCCTAATCTCTTTGCCTTCCACACCCCCGCCTCCCTGCCTGCCTCCCTGTTAATATCTCCGCTTCGTGGTGTAACCTGGACAAACGGAGAGCTGTCCCCAGGAGTTTCTGTGCCAATTTAAAAGGGGATCATTCTCCCCACCCCCTTTCTCGAGGCTGTAAGGAGTTGGACTGGTGCACCCCTTTCTCGCTTTAGTTTCTGCAGCCAGTGTTCGTGTTCCCTGGGTGGCATATTTCATTCTCTTTCCTGAAGCAGTAAGTGTCGGTGGGTTCGGCCGTATTGCTGCAGACACCGGGGAAGAGAAACAAACGGTTCCCTGTGTACTACTAAATAGGGGAGAGAAACATAATATAGCCTGATTATAAAGGTCCTGTATTCCCCCATACTCGGCTATTAGGGAACGTGCGGTGTCTGAAAGCCCTGAGGTCCCTAAAATGCTACATACTACGTGTCATCAAAAGCAGAAGTTCAGTGCTGCATCTAGATTTACGAATGTTTTAGTCTGTTTATTTACAGTAGCTTAAAGGAATAATAACGAAGCGTTTTTGTTACTCAGGGTTCAGATCAGAGAACAGCAGGAGATATCCGTGGCAGTACTTGCAATGCATGATTAATTGGTTATTATCACTATACTTTTGAAGTTACTTTTTTAAAAATGTGGAGCAAATTTATTAATTTCCCTCTTTTGTCCTTTAGAGATTCTAAAAATGGCGGCCTCAGGCTGATGTTGTGGTAATCTAATCAGCTCGGGTCCTCCACACCCCATGCAGTGCGTTTGTCTGCAGCATATTAGTGTCTTACTATGTTAAAATGAAAAGGCTGTTCCCTTCAAATAACGTACAAAACAGCTCTTGGCTTTTACTGCGATTTAAAAATGCTGTGTTCCAGCTGATTAATTTTATTGGTTATGTGTGTGAAAGGCAAGCGAACGAGACCACTCTTGTCGGGGAGAAGGGGGGTGGAAAGAGGCAGCAGACTCAGGCAGCTCCTTCGAGGGGTGTGTGTGGTGCTCTAAGGTAATCTGGGTTCGGGTTGGTGAATTGGAAAGGCTCCTGCGTTTGTGATCGATACGGTGCAGCTGTCTGTCCTACTGACGGCATAGAATCAGTAATATTTATCAACCACAGTCGTGGATTACGGTCACTAAGACACTCGGCTAAATTCTTTGTGGAAACACATTTGTGAACGTCACGTTCATCTTCCAGGAAATACCTTCACTGGACATCGGTGTAGTAATTCCATATATTCATAGTTAGAGAATACAGAATGAACTGAAGGGAATAATGCACGCGAGATTATAACCTGTTACTTTATTTAAAGACACAGAATTTCTTCTACTGCCATGTAATTTTGGCATTGCATTTTTTTCTTCAATTTTATATATTGCTAGATAAATTGTGTATGTGATAACACAGATACAAGTCCTGAGGGAAGGTGCGATTCCTAACGTCTAATTTTTTTCCTAAATGAAATATGAACCATTTAGTATCACCACTATAAATATGTTTGAGTGGGGGGAAGGGAGGTCACAAGGATTCATTATTTGGTAGTTGGTGTAGTGTGCTCTGATACATACTATAGCAGCTGCAAATTGTATGTTTTAAGCAACAATAACAAAAAATAAATTTTCACCTTTTTTTAATGCCTGTCTTTATTCTTGTCCTTTAAATTAATGAGATATGAGTTCCTATTCCAGTATAGCTTTAGAACCTTCTGGATTTAAGAAATCAAAAGTGAGGTGTTGAAGTGGCAAAGCTGTCTTCAATCTGTGATGAATTTTAATTTCAATACCATTTAGAAGCACTGATGTAGGATTTGAGGTATACTTGAAGTTGAACAGTAGGATAGACTTTTAGGGTATTGTTAATGCATGCCTTTAGTGTGTTTTGAGGGCAAAGGCTGAGTGATTTCATTAATTCTCCAGTAATGCATGCTCCCATCATCTTTATTTATATAAATACAATTTTTTCTTCTAAGCCATGTCTTATTATCTCTATTTAAGAGTACATGAAAAAGACAAAGAATATATGGGCCTTTATGGAAACCTTTTGCCTTTTTCTTTCCTTGCCTTCAGTTGGAAGCTGCTGTTCTTGCTGCTCTACAGTCTGCAGCTCTTCATGGCTTCTGTCATGTTCTCAAGCAGATATCTGATTGACAATTAGAGGAAAATAACCTTGTACACTTTACAAAAAGTGTTTGGGGGAGGGTAATGAAATAAACCAAAAATACTAATTTTCAAATTTTACAGTTTGTTTTATGCACTAAGAACCTCTTGGGAATTTAGAGATCTTCCAGAGTTTTCCTGTATGAGTTTTAATGACTCAGTTTGCCTTCGTGACTCAGTTTCTCCATTTGAATAAACAGATCTCTGGTTTGTTTTAAGGAGATGAGACTACAAAACAAATTCTACCTTTATTTTTTAACTCCATTGATGTTTTTATTTATATATTCATAAAGAATGAAATACCCCCCCACCCCCAAAACTAATACTAGCTTCTTGAAAGAGGGAAGATCTGAAATCTGAATTCTTTTTTTTTTTTTTTAAGAATTCTGTTCCACAAACATTGTGTCACAAATGCAATAATGTGGATTGGACTTATGAATCCATTTATATTAAAGTTTTTAATATCTAAAGGAGAATTTTGCTTAATTGTCACTCAGGCTTTTGTGTGAGTGTTTTTGCTGTCTGGGAAATTCCAGGGGGGAAATAATACTGACTCTTTAGAGTAAATCTAGGGAAAGTTTCTCTTAGGACTAAGTAACCTCTTCAGGTTACTCTGAGGTGATGCAACTCCTGATTTCTCCTGGACAGCATACACAACTATTACAGTTCTTCTGGAAAGCAGCAGAAATGCAGAAATCAGTGTCACTCTGAAGGCTGAAATGTTTCTCCAGTTCTGTTCTTGGTTTGACTAAGGACAGTCTTCATTTTGCATGCATGCTAATACTAATTTTAGTAAGGACTATTTGTGGGACTGAGTTAAGGAGTGGTGTATGTAATTGTAGAATCATGGTATTGTTCTAACTAGATTAATGTAAATGAAGGTTTAATGAAAGTATTTTGCTGTTGTCATGTGACATTCTAACAAAATTTAGTGGGAGGGGTGTAGATGGGTAAAGATATAAAATAGAAGCCAATTCAGACTTCTGCAGAGATCCTAAAGAGGTGCATCTGTGTTATTTGCCTCATGACTTCCATGCAGATGAGCATTTGTGAATCTCTCAAAACCAGACTTTGTTGGAGAGTGTTTTTTCAGCAGGTACACTGTTGAAGTGTTTCCACTGTGCAAACAGTTCTGATTTATTGCTGAGAGTGACACTTCAGGCATCTCTGGGGGAAAACATTTCCACAGATGAGAAACGTGGATTAGGGGAAAAAATCCTCAATTCTATGCTTCCAAATTCTGGATTATTTAAAATATTAACTGTAGTGGTCTTTTGAATGGTGCAAAATGGATATTTCTATCTGCTTCAGTGTTCATATTTTTTTAGTAACAGAAGAGTTGTACTCACAAGACCTAATCTCTTTGAGGATCCAAAATTCTGCTCATAACCTTCACATTACAGAAAAAACCTGCTGTAGTTGTGTTCAAAGGAAAGCTGCTGTTAACCTTTAAGGCATAACAAACAAGTACTTAAAAGAAACCTTTTCAAGGTTTCATATACTTGCTAGGAGATACTGCTATTATATGTATTTCCTTCTGCAGATCTTAATGTAATAATGAAACAGGATTTAAGCTGTGTTGGTTGTTAGAAAATTTTAAGAAGACCTTTGAAGACAGTTAGTTTTATTGCACAGAGTATATTTTTTTAACATGCCTGACCTAAGTGGTTTTGTATCTTATTTTTCAAAATTAAAATGTGGGTAGGAACTACAGTAAATTAGTGTCTATTCAAGTTATGTGTTTGAAAAGTGAATGTGAAGAATATATCATAGTAGCACACAGATTGCATCCTGTGCAAGTAGAGTATATTTGTTACTTTTGCATATTTTATTACCAGAGTGCTGCCTCTTGTTTCATGTGATAGTTCATACCCTGCTCAGATGGAGATCCAGTGCTGTAAAACCTGAGTGAGACTTTAAAGGGACCAGCAATTTTGCAAATCAGGCACTTCCAAAATAGTATTGTTCCTAGTTTGAGAATTTAAAATTAGCACTTGGATAGTTTAGGTACTAAAATTTCATATTGCAGGCTCAGGTTAAGGAAAGCTTTTTTATTTTATTCTCATTTGTAGTTGTGTTTTTTGTGTTTTATGCCGTCATAATCTAGGTAATCGTTCACTTTCCTATCTTCATCACAAAAGTAAATTGCCTTCAAGTTCAAAGACAAGATGATAAGACTGAATTTTAATGACATTATTGTACTTTATATTGCAACTTAAGAAGGAAGCCATATAATCTGTTGTTGGCCTCCTTATCACAGAATGGTGTGGAGCTGGAAGGGACCTTCAGCAGCACTTTGTTCAGCGCCCGTGCCGTGGGCAGGGACACCTCCACTAGAGCTGGCTGCTCCAAGGCTCATCCAGGTGTGCCCTTGAACTTCCAGGAGAGGGAGGGACATGTGCTGCTTCCCTGCACAGCGTGTTTCTGGTGCCTCAGCAGCCTCTCTGGGAAGGATTTCTTCCACCATCTCATCTGGATCTCTCATCTTCCTAAAACTGTTCTCCCTTGTCCTGTTACTATCTACTCATGTAAAAAGTCACTCCCTCTTTTTTATAAGCCCCTTCTAGGTACTGAAAGGTTTCATTGAGGCATTTGGAGCCTTCTCTTCTCCAGGCTGAACAACCCCTGTTCTCTGAGCCTTTGTAGGAGAGGTGCTTAGGCCTCTGGATTATCCCTGTGACCTCCTCTGGATCTGTGCTAACAGATCCACTTCTCTTTAGTGCTGCAGACACCAGGGCTTGACAGAGAACTGCAGGTGGCATTTCTTGAGAGTGGAGTAGAGGGGCAGAGTCACCTCCCTTGACCTGCTGCCCACACTGCTTTTGGTGCAGCCCAGGGCATGGCTGGCTTTGTGAGCTGAGAGTGCACACTGTGAGTTGTGTGGTGCTGCTCACAAACCAGCACCTGCCAGCCTCTGTCCTCCTCAGGGCTCCTTCTCCACCCATGCTCTGGCCAGCCTGCCCTTGTGCTTCCTGGGCACAGGGGCAGCACCTTGCACTTGGCTCTACTGAGCTTTGTGAGGGTCACACAGGCCACCTCTCAGGCCTGGCAGGGTCCCTTCCCTCCAGCATGTTGGCCACACCTCAGAGCCTCATGTCACGGACAGACTTGCTGAGAATGTGTTTAATCCATGTCGTTTTAAACTGCCATGGTCCCACTAGCAGTGTGTGAGCAATGCCACTCAGCACTTGTCTCCACTTTGACATCGAGCTTGGCAGCTTTTGCAGCTTGTACAAGTGCAGCCATGCAGCCAGTTCCTTACTCACCAAATGCTCCATCCATCACTTCATGTGTCTCTCCATTTCAGAGTTCAAGATTATTTATCACTCACAGAAACTGATCAAACTAATAGCCTGTATTTGCCACTCAAGACTTTAAACTTCTATATAGAATGGTAGATTTGGGTCTTTTACCTTGAGGAGTTCTGAATATTCCAATTTGTTTGGTGTTCATTGCTTTTTAACTCTTCTAAATTGATAGGACTGGAGATACTTTCTGACTGTTGGTGATGCTCTTAGCTTGCCTTGGGTAGACAGAGGGGCCTAACTTCTAATTAGAATGGTTATAGTGGGCCTGAGTTGAAAACTGTATCACAAAACAGATGATAGTCAAGGCTAGATGGTTAATCCTGCTTTAACTATTGCTTTAAAGAAAATTTTCTAATAAGGAGTGGTTTTAGTCAGTTCTGCTTAAACTGAAGATTTGAGAATTACAGCAACTTTATATATAACTTTGGAGGAAGGTACAGAGTGATTACATGTCTCTTTTGGTTTCCAAACCTATCATTCTAGAACTGTGAAAGAAACATGAATACTTTATATATAATTCATAAACAATACAGTAGTTATTTTACTGGTGATAAGGGTGAGGTTCCTCCCTCAAATGCCTTACCAAGTGATTCCACTGAATTTTTTCCTTTTGCTTAGGATAGGAACGTTTGATGCCAAACTTTAATATCTTTAATATTATGAAGGATTTTCATGAATGACTGTGTTGTGGGGTTCTTTTAAATGCTTGTTCCCTGTCTTACTTTCCAGTGATCTCTTTTGTGCTGAAAGACAAAAGCCAACACTGCTTTTTGTTCCCCTCTGTGTGGCAGTAGTAGTGAAAATTAAAGCTGTTTATTGAGCTTCCATCATTGGGCAGAATTTCTTTGTGCTTATTTAAAAATCAGGTATTTTATGTCTCTGTTACTATAATTGAAAAATGTACTGAAACCTCCATTGAAAACACAAAGCTATGGAGTTAAAATGCATGGAATGGAAATTTCTTAACTCAAATAATACAGTTTTGCAAAATAATAGTAAATAGTTGAAAATAAATCAGTTTTGTTTTCTTGAAAGTCAGAAGGATCTTTTGATCGTACACTTCTGTAATTTTTCTGTGTCCTTGAACATGAAATAGTCCCTCCATCTGTTCTCTCATGTTTTCTTGCCAGTATCCTCCCCAAGTTTTTGTAAAGAACATTGAAATACTGCCAAATTGTTATGAAAATATATAGTCCAGGTTGAACTGTAGTTAATGGACTTCTTCTGACTGCCAGAAAGAATTAGAAGTTTGTGTTTGAAATAATGTGACTTTCTGACTTGCTTGTGTTTTGATTCCTAGGCATAGGTGTAGCAGTCAGGTGAATGTCTACAAATTGCTTCCATGAGTAAAAGTAGAATCACTGTTGAGCTATTTAGGTAAATCAAGTGTCAGGGATAAAAAAGAGGAGGTAGTTTTTGAAATCTACATAAGTGAAATCATATCAAAACAAAAATATGCTGAGCTGAAGTTAGACTTGAAATAAATAAAAAGAATTTACTTCTTCTGTAGTAGGTAGCTAATAATTGCAGTAACTCCTAAGTCTTATTGAGCAGCATAGAAAAAATTAATTAGTTTATTTGGGATCATAAAGCCCACAAAATATTTATACTGTTGAAGGCAATGCCAATATTTATTTTTAGCCACCTGTTTTTTCACCCCAAAATCTGTACTTGTTGGGAGGAATATTGGTGACTGAATTGCCATGAGGTATACTGTTATATTTCATAAAAAATAAATAGACTTAGCCCATACAGTTGTAGACGTGAATTTGGGTATTCTTACAGAATGTGGACTGTATATACTTGCAGAAAGCCTTTATTTTTTAGGATGTTTGTCAGAATAATAATGTAAGATATCAGATAAAATGTTTTCATTGAGAGTAATTGCTAAGTCACATATAGGCAGTTTGTCTGAGTTTAATCAATAGCTTTTTATCATTTTGTGCTAGATGGAGAAATACTCATTTGCAGTAAAATAGCTGATGCAAAAAAATGACATAAAGCCAAGATATTTTTACTGGGAAACTACTTTATTAATGTTCCTAGCCTTTGAATTTTTCTTTAAAGGCATTTTATATTTTTCAGTGATAGACTGCAACAGGCTAATGTTAGGTAGATAATATAAACTTCTCATAGCAATATGCAATATTGCTATGAAAAAGTAATTTTACACCTCTTTATGTGCTGTGGTTGTTTTGTATTTTACAGTTCCTTGGCTCCAGCTCAAATAATTGATGGTTTTTGAATGGCTAGGACTTTCTTGTGTAATTTATTTTAGAAGTATAGCAGATGTTTAGTAAACTTACTGACATCAAGCAATTGGCAGTTAATTTTCAGTCCTGGGTGTTGAGTTCTGCAAATAGAAAACCTAAAATCTGTAAGTGTGGTGTGTGTTAGTGTATCTCTGTTTACTGTTTCTTTCATTGATTCCTTTTCAATGAAGTAATCCTTATTCTCTCTCTAACTGCTTTTACCTTTATTTCCTTTCTACCACTCATTCTTTTTCTCTTCCTAGTCCCCTATTTTGTCTAACTTCCACTGAGAGAAGAAAAGGAGTGAAGAGAGAGAAGAGGTAAGGTCAAGCCTTCATGTTTAAGGGACTAGCATAAATATTTGAGGAAGAGACCTTGCTTTCATTCACAGCAGTAAGCAAGAGCAGCACTGTAGTAAAGGAAAATCGCTTATGTCCCATGGAAAGCAGCTTTGTGTTAGCAGAGGCTTGGCTGAACTGGCAGACTGACTCCTGGGTTGTGCTCCCAAGCATGGCTTGCTTTGTGCAGGCTGGAGTCTGTGTGGCGCTTGCTGTCCCCTGTGTACCAAGGGAAGCCTTGTGATGTGATGGAAACTCACATTTTTTATGCATCTTGGATACCATGAAGGAGGCAGGGGTTTTTATTTCCCTGTTTTAGGTACTAAAGTCTGACCGATTCATAAAGTTTGGCTGTCATTCCAAATGTGACTGGTCTTTAATGAATGTAAAATCCTGCATTTGTCTCAGGGTGTTCCTGAGCTGAATCAGGTTGCCCAGAGAAGTTGTGGATGTCCCACACTGGAAGTGTTGAAGCCCAGGCTGGATGGGGACCCTGAGCAACCTGGTAGCAGAGGTGTCCCTGCCTATGGCAGGGATGTTGGAACTGGATCATCTTTCAGGTCACTTCAAACCCTGGCCATTCTGTGATTCTGTGCTAGTGAATTTTGCTTATTGGCACTATTTTAAAAGCATAGTTTGAGGAAGAGTCTTACTTTGTAGTTGGTTGTAGTAAGAGTGTTTCTTAAATAAGTTGGTCTAATGATTAAGTAGGTCTGTGTCAGTACAACCAATAATGTGACAAAACAGAAATTTGACAGGGCTGGGAACTTGGTGCCCTTGAGCTCTCTGAAGCTTTCTGAAAGTGCAAAAGGAGCTGGGGTTAACTATGAGCAGTGTCCTGTGAGGAACAGGGAGAGGGAGCGACGATTTTAGCCATGATCTGTCATGTGTGACTTCAAACCAGCCACAGCAAGTACTGTTTTGGGTTTTTGTCTGTCTGACAGGGTACATGAGCAAGGCTAGATGGACATGAGTACTGACAATGTGCAGGTGACCCTGAAGGATACTGAGGGGCTTGTGAGTGAGGCTAGAAGCAGTTAATATTGTGAGGAGGAAGAAGATGATGAGAGGGATATAGAGAACATTAAATCAGTGGGAATGTTGGAGCACACACTCCAAATACCAGATTTCTTCTAGAACAGGTTGTTTCTTCTATATGATTTGCAGGACTTGGTCATTAATTGGTCTTAATTTGTATATTTGAGTGTGCCTACTGTGTCTTGTTTTTTCTACTCCCTTTTTGTTTCAGCACAAATTAGAAGTAAGCTATCTGTTAATTACCACAGAAAGCAGCAAACAGTAGCAAAGGTCTGAATTTGGACTTGCAGTTGTTTCTAAGTCTGTGCAGTTCTTAATGCAGTGGTGTAACATCTGGAAGTTGGGTATCCATCCTCATCTCTTAGGAAATCTGTACAGTTATGGAGCATGCTAGGGGAAACAGAGAGAACTTCTTTGTATGTAAGATTAGTCATTTATTCATGTATTCTGCTTCTAGGTCTGATTAAAGGCGTTACCTCCTGAGAAACAGACAGCAATGAATAAATATTGATTACTTTATACATTTATTTTATGGTATGTGTATATATGCTGCTTATTTTTGCCATATTTGGTGTTGATACAACTATATACATATACACATGTGCACAGTAGAGTTTATTATTTGAATGGTACCTAGAGTGTGCTATTAAAATGCCAGCGTCTCTTGCTAATTTTAAAAATAATCTCATTTCTTGTTAGATTTGTATGCTCAGAGCAGTAGTAGAAAGCAGCAGTTTAGAAAAGCATGATTTTGTTTAATGAAACCTTCTTTAAATCTTCCCTCTTATTCCTTTCCAATTAAAAAGAAAGTTAAAAAATCAAACCCAACAAACAAACAGAACCCAGCACACACCTCCCAAACCAAAAACAAACAAAAAAATTCCAAAGGAGGGAAAATCCTGTAGGTAGGAAAGCCAAGTAATAAAGCTTAGTTTGTTTGCCTTGTGACAGCTCAGGACATGAGTTTTCACTCTGTGTTTGTGGAGCCTGACAAACTATTGATAGTTGCATTTTTAATTCGATTTCTGCTGTATAGATTGTGCCAGGGCATAGGTCTGTCAGCTTTCTTGTGGTCAGGGGTGGTTCCCATGACCATGTGTTACAATTATCGGCCTGTAAATGTGAAGGAAAGTATGACAAGAATTGCTTTTCTCATGATTGCAAAACGTGTGTACACACATGATGTAATTGCAGGGAGGAGGAGAATGTTTAGATTGCATTCTCAATAAATGCAGCTCACGCATAGAAGATGCATGCTGAGGTAATAAAATGCAATAAAACAGAATGCTAACTTTTGGTCACCTAGTACCTGAGATGGCTTTGTATAAACAAGTGACAATAAGATATGCAGGAGTCAGCAGAGGTCTGAAAGCAGTAATACAGTCTTGGAAATCTTTGCATCTTCCCTGAAAGGCCTTATTGATATGGGAAACAATAATTAGTTTTGTAGTGGTCCTTTGTAACTTTGGAGCTAACCTGGACTCACAGTAGTGTGAATTTTCTACTGGGAGCAAATGGAAATTGAGAGTGCAACACTTGTACATTCAAATTGACTTGAAGTTACAGCCAGGTTAGCATTGCATGCTGGTTAAACTGAAAGGTCTTGCTTTACTCAAGACTGTCATATTTGCATATTTGTGTGTTTTAACACTGATTTATTTTTTATCTGTGAATCTTGTAACTCTTCTTCCTTGGTCATTGCTTGAGAGGAAAATTGACTGTTTCAGCAATTTCATTTGTTGCTTCAAGTTGGTTCCCTTAAGATTCGTACACATCTAATGAAAATGAGCTTTTATATATACTGTGTGTATTGTGATACTTAATATAGCTCCAGAAAATGGTTATTAATTTCTTGCCTGGATTTAAAGGTGTGAGGGAAGGGGTTTAGCAAAAGGGAGCCTCTTCTGTGCTTGTGTTGAGGGGAAATAAGCTCTTATAATCATGAGGTGAACTGTCCATTGCTGGGTAAACTGGGAAACAATGAGACTTTTTAGATGTTGGAGGGGGAGAGACTGACAATTATTCCTGGCCATTTCAGGTACTCAATTTACTACATATGGGAAAGTGACTGCTTTCACCTTTGATGTATTTTGTAATTCACTTTTCAAGTTATATAATTTTGCTTTTAAGGAATGATAGTTGTCATATGTAGATAGCTTAGAAGGTTTTGATTAATTTTTCTTCAACTCTAGTTATGTAGATTTTGTATATAGGCCTTGTGAAAGTACAGAGTATAGAGATGGTAATTTGGTTACTGTATAAATCCTTCTGTAGTGACATGAGTTAAGGACTTCATGGTGAAGTTGTATGCATCAGTAGAAAATCTAAATAATTATTTATCTTAAACCAGCACTGTTGCATCTAATGGAATAGCCTGGTTAGGGGGTAATTAGAATTAGATTTTTCTCCTTAAACCTCTGTGTTTAGGAAGATCCTGGTAATTTGCTTTGCAGAGCCATTCTGTGATGAAATCTCCCAAATCTTGAAACATCTAAACATCTAATAACTATTCTTTTATCTTGTAATTTTTGATGGGTGATAACTGCAGAGGAAAATACTGAAGACCTTTACATGTATACAAAATTCATAAAAACAGGAACAAAAAGATTTAGTGTTTTTGTAATGCCTAGTGAGGTGAGAAACTTGAACTGATCTAGCAATCCATGCACTTAAGTTAGTGTAGTCTTCTGTTTATGTGGGAAAATTCTTATATTTGAGATAGGATATAATTTAACTGTAAGCTTAATTCCATGTTCCACTTATGTCCCTTTATAAATTAGAAAACAAATGTTAAGTTTCAAGTTGCTTTGAATCTCTTCCTCTCTTCTAGAGTAAGTGTATTTTTTCTAACTTCTGTATACTTTTTGTATTTGTCACATGACAACAATGTGGAAATTGTTCATGGTAAGGGAAAAGCAAGGAACAGTGACACTGCCTGTAAAAAGTTGTCAGAGATGTGAAGAAGAATAGCAGAAACAGCTTTTATTTTTATTTTTTCCTCTTTGGTTTTTGTAGTATTAGACATAAACATTGTTAAAAAACCCCCAGCAAACTAGACACCCTCATCATAACATAATAATAATATTTCTGTAAGTATTATAAGTAGTAATGCTGTCTTGATATATTAGTGTCTCTTTAGGATTTTTTTATGTTTAAGACAAATAAATTGTTAATGGTGTTGCCACCATCTCTTCCTGATTTTTATGAAAAGTTTTGTATGTGCATCTAGGCAAGGGCTTTAGTATTCTTAGGCATACAGCATAGGTTCTAGCAGGTTTAACACTACTGATGTAATTTCAGGAGATCACAACTTTACCTTCTTCAAGGTTGAGCTGTCTGTATTTGGGGGTTTTCCTCCTTTGGGTACCAGTGGCAGAGTTAAGTTTCTTCTCCTGATGACAAGTGATCTTAGCAGGACGTGAGAGAAAGGAAACCTGTGGTCTCTGCTAGACCACAGAATAATGTTGTTTTAGTGGAATACCTCAGGGATAATGTACGAGTTATTTCCTGTTCTTTAAAGCATAAATTGTGCTCTCTGTACAAAGCCACAGAGATTAATATTTTGGAATGTATTGCACTCTTACACTTCTGGTTTTTGAGTACAATTAATTTATACAGAAAAGGGTCCTGGTGTCATGAGCAAAGTGGATCATAAGAAATATGGTGAGGCTTCAGGTTTTTTAGACGTGATGCAGCTGTTGTCAAAAAGCTCCTGTGTATTTTCTGGAGACAAAGAGAAGTGCCATTTGAAGTGTAAATCAGTATGAGTGAATGGTGAAGTGTGATGGATGTGAAGAGGTTGATCTTGCACAAGATAAATGTTTTAACCAGAAATTTGTCTGGGTTTTAAGATGAACATTTTAGTATTAGGGCAAGATAAACTTTTTTACTGCAACTAAATAAAACAAAATTGATTTGAATAAGGGAATTTTTTTCCTCCTATAATAAAGCTGTAGGGTGATTATGAGAAAATTTGGTGAATTTAGGAAATTGCCAACATGCTTTCAGAGCTTAGAGTGTACTGTTACTAATGGAGTAGACTATAACAAAGTTGTTGTTAATTAAGGTACAATAGATGAGCCACTTTGCCCAGTAAAGAGCTGATCAATGAACTTTGGACTAGCAGTTTTTATATGGTGGCTTTTAACTCTGTGACCCTGAAATTAACTGGAATAACCAGTGTGGTCTTCCTGTCTTTCAAGTTCATGTACTGCTTGAAGAAAGACTTTCTTAAACAGTAAGTTGTGGAAATGAATGTACCTATGAAAACAGTTTCTTAAAGGCCATGGATGACAGTTTGTCAGAGTTCTAAAAGAATAATTACTTGAAATAGATGGATACTTGCAGGAGTTGGAAAGTACCAAATCATGACAGTAGATAGTATTTTATGACTCATCTAAAATACCAAGCTTCAAAGGATAAGCAATCTCTTCATAGATAAAATTCCCCAGTGGTTGTGTTACTTTCTTTCTGAACTTATAAAAATACTGGGAATATTAGTATGTCATGGCAATGCTTCTGATTCTGGCATGGTGGAAAATAATTATTTTCCATCATTCCAAATTTAACATCACTGTAGGGATCATAATTGGATGGCCTATATATAAGGTCACAGTTTTGTTTAATAGGTGGGTGTAGTGTTATTAATTTATCCTAGATCTCCCCCCACTCTCATTACAGGCGTTTGTTGGGGATGGCTACTCATAATTAATGAGCAATGTTTGTTTGAATTAACTTGGCTATGTAGGTATTGCAAGCCAGTGACTGCCTGCATTCTTCCATACTGAACTGTAGGCAAAGGAAAAGCTTTAGGGAGTTCTGTGTAATGAAGGTGATAAAAACCAGTGAGTATTGCAGTCATGTTCCACTTCCTTTTAGATAAAACATGTTTAATGCTCTTCAGGCAAAAACATCTTGATTTCTCAAGTTTCTGACCTTACTCAGTGTAGATCAGGTTATTAGAATTTTTTCCTGAATTCTGACAATCTGCATTTGAATAACTTGCCATAGGGCAGGAAGTTGGTTTTGGTTGAGTCTCCCCTTTTTTTGTTGGGTTTTTGTTGTTGTTGTTTTTGTTGTTGAGTTTTTTTAGCATGAATGGTGGTGTATTTGCATTGTCCTGAATGGGGACATGGATTAGCCATTGATTTCCAGTCTATACATAGCTGTAAAACATTCATGGCTCTTCTTTTTCTGCATTATGTTTTAAAAAAGCCCCAAATATCACTTGATTATCAGATTCAAGGGACATTCACTGACAACACAGAGAAGATCTGCTTACCAAATCTGTGATGATTGGGTAGTCTCAGGTGTTTTATGTAAGTTTGGAGATGTCACAGCCCCTGAGAGAGCTTTCTAAATGTGTCTTCTTCAGTCTCCAGGGCATTTTTGCCTGTGTTGTTTTACAGCTGATGCTCTAACTGGTTAGAAGTGTTTAAAGTAAATCTTTTAAGAAAAACCACACCATCAACAAAATCAAGTTTAAGTGCAAGAAATACCTAAGTGAGGATCTTGATCCCAGACAATGGTGTCTAATATGTCTTTTAGACCTACATTGAACCACTAAAGCTGTTTTTTAAGAATTACCTAATGACAGGCATCAAGTAAAAACTGCATTCTGCTGATGATTTGGCAGCATTGGTCACACTGCAGGGAGTACTGGAACAGCAGTTAACCCTGGCCTAGCTGATTTACCTGGATTTAGAAAATTTATGGCTTCTTTAAAGTTATTGTGTAAATTTTTTACTTTTTCAGAGGATAGGGACTAAATGGTGAGTTGATGTTTCCTTTAAATTGAAGGTACACCCATTCAGGGTTCTGCCCTATGAGTAGAGTTAGCTATATGGTGGGAAAATGACTGCTCACTTCAACTGTTAAATGGGCTTATGGGTTTTTCAACCCTTCTATTGAAAATATTCTATACCTGCTTTTGATTTAACATATTTTTCTTGCTACTTATTCTTGACAATAATATATTTTTTCTTAATTTTTTTGCATAGCTAGTGATGCAGTTTTTTACTTGTGGTATTTAGTAAGAAAATGCTCAGTATTTAAATGAGGAAAGCAAAATATTCCAATGGCTACTTGGCCCAAAAGCTTTCTAGTTCATTGTATTTGGTGTCTCATGTAATAGGACCAAATCACACCTTTTGCTGTCTAGGAGGCTGAACTAGCTGTAGGTTTAGGCACTGCAGACATCTTGGCATGTTCTGAAGTTAATTGCCAATCTTCACTAGTGTTAAAAAATTTACGAAGTTAGATGAAGACTTGCTGCCATCTCATACTTGAGAGATGTCTTGTACATGCCACTTTGTCATCTTGAAGGCACTGACCTAATCAATAAAAGAAGACAGTTCAGATTTAATTCACAGGGTTTATCTGAAGTCCATTTCTCACCGGGACTTGTGCTTTTTGTCAGTGTAGTGTTTGGCAAGGATAACGTGTTGAAATGAAGTTCAGCCAGGATAGGTGCTGGATTCTACACCTGGAATAGGGCAGCCATGGATGTATGGAGAGACTGGGAATGAGAGGCTGGAGAGCAGCAGGCACAGCAAGGGACTGGGGGATCCTGGTCCTGACTGTCTGAACAGAGCCAGGAGGGCCACCCATGTCCAGGGGCCATCAGGCACACCAGCACCAGCTGGGCAAGGGAGGGGATTGTCCTGCTCTGCTCTGCGGTGGCCTCATCTCCAGTGCTGGGGGCTGTTTTGGGCCCCACAATATAAAAAAGACATTAAAGTATTAGAGAGTGCCCAAAGGTGGTGAAGGACCTTGAGGAGAAGCTGTATAAGGAGTGACTGAGGTCACTGGGTCTGTTCAGCCTGGAGGAGACTGAGGGGAGACCTCACTGCAGTTACAGCTCCCTCATGAGGGGAGCAGGAGGGACAGACCCTGATCTCTGCTCTGTGGTAACAGTGACAGGACCTGAGGGAGCGGCCTGAAGTTGTGTTGGGGGAGGTTTAGGTTCAGCACTATGAAAAGATTCTTCCCCCAGAGGGTGGTTGGGCTCTGAACAGGCTCCCCAGGGCAGTGGTCCCAGCACCAGCCTGACACAGCTCAAGAAGCGTTCGGACAGTGCTCTCAGGCACATGGGGTGACTCCTGGGAGTGGTGCTGTGCATGGCCAGGAGCTGGTCTTGATGATCCTCGTGGGTTCCTTCAAACTCAGCACATTCTGTGATTCTGTGAAAATACATTGATCTCAAAGTTATTGTGCTCATGTAGACATCAGCTAAGATACAACATTTTGTGGTATGAGAGGAGTGTCTTTATTAGGCACAGTATGTGCTTCATTGCAAAGTGGTTTGTGGTCTTGCAACTTTGACATTTTGGTGAGAGTTTGCAATTATTCATTATGTAACTGCTGAAGGTACTGGGCTACTTTACTTAAATTACCTAGTCACGTGTTAAACCTGGTCTGTGTTACTGTATAAAAGTGATTAATTTACTCTTCTGTGAATAGCTGGGAGCTGTTCACATTTCTCTTGTACTTGGTTGGGTGTTCTGCCCTGTGTAGCAGGGGAAGTGGGGGACTGGTAGTAACTGGCATACAGGTTGGATCCTACATTCACTCGTGTGAGTCAAGCAGATTGTAGTTTACTCTGCAGTTAAAAACTACTACTGATTATTTTTATTTTACTCCTTTAAAAACACTTCCAAAAGTGGTACTGAACAGGCACAATATCTTCTAATGGTGATTTATTAAAATGGAAAATGTTTCCTATCGTTATTGTGAATTATTAGAATTATTTTTTTTAAAATACTACGTGGCAGTTAAGACATTTGTTTTCTTTTTAAGTGCAAAACAAAAGAGAACAGTGCTGGCTGAGACTTACTTGCAAATTCTCTAACTGGGTTTCTATTGAAAGGTACAGCAACTAAGCTTTGACAGGAGAGGGCCAGTCTATGGCACTTCCCTGATTGTGCTGGGGTTTTTAATCAGAAATTTGAATGATTGTCCATTTGTAATATATTCAAGTTTGGGTATTAAGACTATCACTCTCTTTAAAGAGGTTTATTTGCAGTTAATTTTAGGGAAGATTGAATGTTCTCCTTTTGCTTGTGTAAAATACAACTAGCGAAGTAATTGTGACAGATATAAATGGCAAATTTTAAAAATAAAATACATGATGTAAAATTGCCTGGGTTTGAAATGAGTTGACTTAATGTGGTGCATGTTGTGTTTTGTTTTTGGCAGGGTTTGTGGATGCACTTAGATGTTTGCAATGAGCACTGTGGCTGGCATGCCCCAGTGTTTTGGATACCAATGCATAGGACTCCGTAGTAATCGAATTTATCAGAAACGAACGTCATGAGCATAGTGATCCCATTGGGGGTTGACACAGCAGATACTTCTTATTTGGAAATGGCTGCAGGCTCAGAGTAAGTATGTGAACATAATTTGTAAGTGCTCTTGCCTATTTTTTAATTACTTTACTTTTTTCCTTCATGGCCATTTTTTGAATACTGTTGGAGAAAACTTGAAGAATTTCCTTAGTTTTTTTTAATTTTTAATTACTTAAATTAATAACTGTCACTTCATTCTTATGTCAGTTTCTTCCACTTCAGGGGAGCAAAGGAGAGAAGCTGAATGTTTCTACAAGTGCATGCTTTTCTTGCTTATCAGACTGACAAATAAAGATGCTGCTTGGGTAACTTCTCATGCTTCAAATATTTTGCCATTTCAGTTTCCTTTTTAACTACATGTAAAAAATTTTTTTGATTTTGCACGTTAGAAAGATAAAATAATTTGGTGCATTAAACTGCAAGAAAGTAGTAGTAATCAAGACAAGTGTGTGAAGATATGGTATTAGCATTTCAGCTAGGCCTTCATTTCTTAAAATGAAGGCCTAGCTGAAATGCTAATACCATATCTTCAGAAAGTTATTTCTAATTGTAAAGCCAGTAGAAAATGATTTAGTAACTGTGTATAAAGGGTTACAAAAGAGCTAGTGAAATCATGCATTCAGTAAACTCTGACTTGGCACCAAATATTGTGGTGTAGTGAGTTTCTGGGTTTTGGGGGATGGGGAAGGTGACATGTGGGGGATTTTTTAGGGTTGGGGGGAGCTGTTGTTGTGCATGTGTGGTTTTTTGTGTTGTGGTTCTTTTCTGGTTTTTCCCTGTAATCTCCTGTACAGTATTGATGGGCTAAGGTTTAGGAATTGTTGATCTCTGACTGGATACATTTCTTGTCAAGCAAGCCTTTCTGTGCATGTAGCACACAGAATGTTTAAGAAGCAAGTGGTTTTTCTTCCGAACTTTGAAGGAAAGTTTAAGGAGAACTCTAGAACAGCTTTTTAAAGGGTTGTTTCTCTACTGTGCTTCCAAGTATATATGAGGCTATTCTAGGTTTGTGCCATTTATTTGAAGAGAACCAAGAATTTGCAATTCAAAAGTTTTTGTTACAATAATTTTTTAAAGTTGTTTTATCTTTTCATATTGTAAATACTCTTAACCTTGGTGCAGAAAAAAATTTAACTGTAGTGAACCATTCACATTTCTTTTCATTTTTTTCCTGTGCTTTTCTTTTATGTTTAGAGAGGGTCATGATTCCTGAGGTTGCTGACATTCCTTGCAGACACAGCATGTCATGCTGAAATAAAAATAAATAAATTTAGTTGTCAGTATAAACAAGATAGAGTTCACAGTGTGTTATTTGCTTGATACTGTGGCAGAGCGACCCAGTTAGGAGCTACTTTTCTTCAGATGTTAAGTGGCTGTTACCACTTAGATTAATTCTTGTCATCTCTGCCGTGCTCACACTGAAATGTGTGCAGTTGCATGATTGGTGTACGCTGATTTAAAAGCCGTGTCACTGTCACAAGAAGTGTGACACAGAGGTGTGTCCCTAATCTACCAGCTTACACAGTTGTAAGCCCTTGCTATCACAATCCGTGTGGTTTACTCTTTGTTCTTGTGCATTTTCTTGCAGAGGGTAGCATGTTGGATGTGGGGTGTATTGGTTACAGTCCTAGATGGTCTTTGAGCAAGTTGTGGGGTTTTCCCAGGAGGGAGGAGCTAGAATTTTTCCACTGTGACTGGCAGGTCGGATATTGCTTCATCAGTTGCTGAAGCATGAGCAAACACAGGAATGGGGGAGTGGCACACTTGATTATGCAGCAGAAGCAGCTTAGGGAAAAGCTCTTTGTGTAGTGCAGTCTGCTAGTGCTGAAAGATTTTTCCTTATATTTTGAACCAAGGCATAAGCCTATTAAAAGAGGGGATATTTTATATGATTAATAGTTCCACATATTTTAATAATTGTAGCAAATAGCTGTGTGTGGAGTAGCCTACTAAGAGGTTTAAGGATCTTAAAAATTGAGTGAAATAGTTTGTTTATATTACATGTACTTAAGTGGAGTCTCCAGATAGATCTTTGTGTCATTGTAGTAAAAACACGCATACTTGGCCTTTATGATCTTACTAAAGATGGGGATTTGTGACATCTTAGTGGTAAGGTGCTTGTACTTGTAAGGAGAACAAGCCATTTCTGAAGGTTCAAAAATGAAGCTTCCTGGCTTCAGAGAGTGCTTGTGGAGTTTAGAGTGTAAATACAAGCTACACATTGGGAAATGCCATTGATGGTGCTGCTTTTCTGGTTATATCCATACATGTTTTTTAGGGAGAAGACCTGTATGATAAACCTCACAATCACAGTGTAGAGATCACTGTACTGAGTTCAGTATGCAGGAGAGAACATTGGTGGAGTCTTACCTACAGACAGGATCGGGCCAGCCTCTACTTGCAGGGCCTGCTGCAAGGTGCTTAGGTAGCAGAACCCAGTCCCTGCCAGAGAAGCAGTCCTTGGTTCTTGTTGTCTGGCTGTCATGTGTCTTTGGTTAGATGAAGTGTCTTGAAATAGAAAATGTTGTTTCTCATACAAAATATATTGTGTTCTTTTGTCTGAGATGGTCTTCAGCTAGATACTGTTCAGGTGTGCTGGTACAAACAGAAAACAAACCTAAACTCCTTGAAAATTAGACCCATCAAACTGGATTGTTGGAAGATGGATGTTGCTGAGAGGTTGCATTTGGAGTTCAGACATGTTCAGGAAGTACTTGTAGTATGCTTAGCTCACAGCCTAAAGCTTGGATTCCCCACCTGCCTTTGAGCATTTTAGTGAGATTTTGTTTCTTGCTTGTATATCTATATATTTATGGAAGTGGTTGATGGCCCCAAATTGCAACTGACTGTATTTTGGGTATTAGTCAAAAATTGTGTGCTTTTTTTTTTTCTTTATCTTTTCCTTTTTTAAAATTTATTACTAAATGGTCAGAAGCAAACAATGTTTAAAAGGAGTGAAGTGGGGGAGATGACATTTTAGAGATGAATTGGCTTCCTTTGAATCATTGCAGGTTGATTTCCTTAGTACAGGTTAACTAACTACAAAACTGTAGTGACTGAGGTTTTTTGTAAATTAACTGGTCTCGGGTGTTGCTTTTAGTTTCTCACTAATGCCATCTGCTGGCAACATGCGGAATATTTTGTTTCCATTTTAGAAATGAACAGTAGGAAATGACTCATAACATGAAGTTGTTTCACTTGCTAAATGAAAGTTCTGTCAAGGCTTTTTTTTAATATGGTCATCTTTGCATTTTAAACTTATTTTAGAAAATATTATATATTTATTCTGATTATATTATATTATTATAATATTATATATTATTATATATTATATATAATTATACTAGTATATATAATTATTATATATTATATATTATATATAAATTATATTATTATTATTATATTATATATTATTCTGATTTCAAGGTACAGTAATGTCTTAAATCACTGCTGCCCAAGAGCATGTGGAAAGCTTTTGTGTAGAGCTTTTTGTTTTGTTCCCTATGAAGATTTTGCACAGATTTGAGTTGCTGACTACAATGCTTAACAAGTATATATGATATTTTAGCAAAATATCATGGTCAGTTTATCACAGTAATATTTATTTATTTAGGAAATAACATTTTGTTCAAGCTTCATATATACTGTGTTGCAATACAAACATTGTAGTTTGGATGAAAACCAAAAATACAATAAATATCTTTTAGTTATGCAGTAAGGCAGCAGTTGTTTGAGGTGAAGCTGAAAAATGTGGCATGATCAGAGGACTGACAGAATTAGTACCTCAGTCTGACAGAATTGGCTAATGTCCAAAATACAAGCAAGGAAAGCCTTACAGTGTTTTCACAGCTCTGAATGCTGACGTGTTTTCCTCCTGAAACCTTGCTTTCTGGGATGGCTGTAGGAATGGCAGTGGTGAAATGAGGGATGTCTGTCTGTAGTACAGTAGTTAGTGCCTTGCTGCTTGGACCCTGCCACTTGAGCCCAAAAAAATCTAAAACTTGATTTTTAAATTAGGTAGCATCTCATGCTTTAATCATCTGTACAATTAAATATTTTACCAAGAGGCATTTCTTCTCAAAGCCTATTCTGAGATGCCTATTTCAGAAGAAGGGTTTGACCTTTGAACAGACAGGTGTATAGAGGGCATCTTTTCTGTTTGAGGTCAAGCACATGGTTGGCAAAACCGGGAATGATGAGGAATTCAGTAACCTGTTTGTCAAATTGATTTTGTCTGTGGCTCTCTGAAGAATGGTGTTCATTCTGTACTGGTTTATGGCATCTGTGTCACTTTCCTGTTGGCTGTAAAGGAAATCTGTGATGGTTCATTTCTAGTTTAAGTGAATGCTTTGGAGCTCCTTCCCTTAGTTCTTGGTTTGTTCCCCACTTCCCCAGGCCAGTGCAGTGGGTAAATGGAACAGTAACAGTTACAGTCAGAGCTCTAGTGAGCATCTGGTATGATTGAAAGTAATGTCTGTGCCTGGATAAGCATTTAAAAAAAGTTTTACTGAAAGCTGATTGTGCTCCAAATTTTTTAATAGTTGCCTTTCTGTATCACCTGACTTTGCTCCCACCATTTTTCTGGTTTTCCTTGTTCAAGCAAAGATGTGCCTTTTTCTTAGTAACATTGTTCTCTGAATCTGTTTTATGAGTGTTAAAACAGTTGGTGATAAATGAATGTTTTTGGAAGCTTTACACTTTTGCTTCCCACCACTGTAAATATTAAATTTTGTTCTCTTAAGTGGTTTATAAATGGCTGGAGTAATAAGAAATGGATGTAGGGTGTTGGGTATATTGTCTTGCCTCAGGTCTTGAAAGGGACCTGGACTATCTTTTTGATGACTTCTGTAGTCCGATGATGAAATACACAACCTCCTTTTTAGGACACTTTCATTCTGGTATCTTTCACTGAATGTTCCTGTGTTTAAGTAGCTGGTATTTAGGTCATAGTAATACTTATTTTTAATGAAGGAAACTCTCCTAAATTAATCCAGCATGGATTGTACCAGAATCCCCTCCTGCCTGTCCTTAGTAAGCCTTCCTGCTCTGAAAACAGAGTATTTTTCAGCAAGACCTAGGTTGAGCATTGAGCACAGAGGGGATAAGAGTGCCTGTGCTGCTGCTTGTCCCACTGAGGAAATGGGGAGGAACAGCAGCAGAAGCAGTGCAGTGGTCAGGACATCCTTGTTCCTGGGGAATCTAATTTCTGCCATAGTCATGATGGATGTGTGGCTACTGCCTCATTCACTGGCATTTTGGTTGGCTGGGTCATCACAAGGATTACTGGAGCACAGAAAAGATGTGTGATTACTGCACAAATGTGTTGGTAAATAAGTAAAAGCAAATTGGTTGGAAAGGCACAGTTTTTTCATCTTTTGTCTTTATTTTAGTCATGAGCTTAAGTTCTAAGCTGTTTCTAGAAGCTAATTATAACAAACTCCAAATAAAATTGTATTTTCAAGTTGTGAAAGAGTGTAAGAGTAACTGAGGATTTTTCTGCATTTATGAGGTAACAAAGAACAAGTGCTGTCAGATTTGGTTTGTCTTATGCTAGTCAGAAGTTGTATTTTTAATGTTAGTACTTCACATGATTTTTGTGCTCACATGTTTGTTCACTCTCTCAAAAAAAAAGGCAGCTGATGACTTTTGGAGACAGTAATCTTTTTTTTTTTTTTTCCTTTGGACTTCAGAAACTAAAGCCCTCCCCCAGAAGTGCTTTTACCTAGTTTCTTCTTAAACAGTTTTGTCATTAGGGTATTAACCTCACATGGGAAAAAGCTCTTAAGAAGAAATGGGCCACCAAACCCATTAGTAGGACACTTTCAGAGATGTGAAAATACCACCCTTTGTTCAGAAAGTTAATGATTAATTATATTTTTTCCAAAAAGTAACAAATGTAGGTTTCTGGTGTCCTTTTAAAACAAACTAATATTGCTTCATGGCACAGCAAAAAAGTGTCTATTAATGTGTAAGAAAAAATCCCATCAGTCTCTGTTTTAATTTAAGATTCAGGAACACCAAGTTTATTTTAAAAATTACCTCAAGGAATTAGTACGATATGTGAGAGGCAATAGAATTCACACATAACAAAAATAAAATTAGAAAACTGAACCAGACCTGATTTGTAATGTGAATCAAGTCCACTTCAGTTCTAAATGTTGATATTTTGTGGTGCCTTTTGTTTTGTTTAAAAGAAACCCGCATTAGTAACCTGGATTCATTTCTCTTGGTGTTATTAAATCATATGGTGCAGTGAAAATACTGCAGGTTATCTCAGTCATGCACACATGAACAGCTGCTCAAGAAAGGCCGTGAAGATGTAATTTTGTGTGCTCATCTTCCTGTTCTAGTATTCCTTTATCTTTCTTGTTTTGTATTGCGGTTTAGTGCATATAAGACATAGTTTGTATATTGAAGAAGGCACTGCCTTTGATACAAAACCTTGTCTTGCAAATTATCAGCTTTTTCTTTCTATCTAGAGATAAATAAATAGAAGCTGCCTTGTTTAGCTGATTAGCCCTAGTTGGATGTGTGCTCGCAGGAGCAGCCGGTGCGGTGGTGCCGCCGCTGCCGCTGTGTGTCGCTGCAGGGCTCGCTGGGTGTGCGGCCCCGGAGCGCGGCATCGCTGCTCGGGCTGAATTCCCTTCGGCGGCTTTGCTACCGTCAGTGAGCGGCCGCCGGGGCTTGGAGCTTGTTACTGCCCCCATACTGCTTTAAACACGATCAGCAGGAGTTAATTAGAAGTTGTGCAGCAAGTACCTCCAATTTATTAATATAAATTACATAGTAATTGCATTTGTTGCTCTTCTGTCTTTTGCCTTGCAGACCAGAATCTGTAGAAGCTAGCCCTGTGGTAGTTGAAAAATCGAACAGTTATCCACACCAGTTGTATACCAGCGGCTCGCATTCACACAGTTACATTGGTTTGCCCTATGCAGTAAGTTTTGTGCAAAGTATTCTGTACGTAATACATTATGGAAAAATATGCTGGTTTTATCTGGATAAACTGATTCATGCTTATCTTTCTGTATCTTATTGGGAGTTGGGTAGGTCAGATAAAAATGGTCTGTCAGAAGTAGAACATAGTGAACTTAAATGTATAACATAGTTGAGAAGTTAGAAAATAAGATTGAATTGGGATATAAAATATAAGTACAAAATTTAAAATATTTTAAATATGTAAAATTGGGATATAAAAATATAAAATCTTAACCTTTTACTACAAAATTAAGAAGCCTGAAGTTCCTTGCTTGAATAGCCATCAGTGTATGGGCATTTACAATAAATTACCTTTTCACAAAATTCCAGGACCATAACTATGGTGCTCGGCCTCCTCCAACGCCTCCAGCTTCTCCTCCTCCATCAGTGCTTATAAGCAAGAATGAAGTAGGCATATTTACCACTCCCAACTTTGATGAAACCTCCAGTGCTACTACCATCAGTACGTCAGAGGATGGAAGCTATGGAACAGATATTACCAGATGCATTTGTGGCTTTACACATGATGATGGATATATGATCTGTTGTGACAAATGCAGGTAATGCATATTAAAATAACTTAAAAAGTAAAAATTACTTAAGGCTGCACTGAGAGTGAATGTAACTAAATGGTGTTTTAATTATGATGAGTCACAAAAAATTTCCTTCTATCAAAAAAGTGCTTGAAGGTTGTGTGTTTTTCTAATAGGCGACATAGTCAGTTCAGGCCAGCAATTATTTTATAATTTAATTCTTGTCAGTCTTGACTGCTCATGAATTTGGTCATGCCTTTGCTTGGGCATTGCTGCTTAATAAGGGTACACCTTTTTTCCCCTCTAAAAAGGATGTCTGTGGTGCTCTGTCCCAAGTTATTTGTTAGTAGGGTAAAATGAAGACCCAGGCATTACTTAATGTGCATGTACTGAGTAATAAAGCATCTTGGTGAATTATGTATATGTAAATCAAAGAACTTGAAGGATGCAAAATAATGTGAAAGAAACTTCTTGAGTATTGGTTTCTCTGTGCATGATCTTTCTGATTACTCTTCATTTTTCAAAGGATTTGGTTAATAAGTATGAAAAGACTAACCTGGGTTCTTAGTGGAGAAGCTGAAGTTAAATATTTAGACTTCTGAGTTTATGCTCAAGCACCTACCTGATCGCAGTGTAATAAGAGATTGCTTTTGAATACTTGGAATTGGAAAAATAAGAATATAAATTTTTAGAGCTGATACACTTAACAGGAGAAAACAAATGTTATGTTTCTACTCTATTAGCCTGTCTTTTTAAATTTGGTTAATGAATACTGCTGGATTTGTTAGATCTTTGTGTATTTATAAAACAATAGTTATAGCTAGTTAAAATATTAATTTGAGCTCCATTCTTCTCTCTACTTATGTAATAAGCTTGTTAGCAATTTCTGATGGTCCTAAATTCTGATAATCTTGCTCATTATTTTGAAATGTATTAAGATGTTTTTTCCAGCAGTGGAGCTGTAGGCAGTCACCAGTTAGGTAGAGTCTTTCTCCTTTGAAGAAGAGATTCTCTGCGAGGAGCTGTGAATTTACCACAACTCTTTCCAAGTGGGAAGATAATTCTTTTTGTGTCCCTCATCCTTCTAGCAATGGAGGGCTGACTATAAACTACTGTTATAGGTTAGACTTCAGTCTAGCAAGCAGTCTCTTCCCTGACTCTGGGAAGAAGTTAAAGCTCTTTCTTTGCTGTGCAGCAATACTACCAGTTTTATAACAGGGTGTATAAAAATGTGTTTCTCTATATAGAAATACTTTATGTACCCATTTCTAAAAGGGAATTGAATCCTTTTGTTTAAAACCAAACCTCTTGTTGCTATGTAAAACATAAGTCTTGTTACTGAGGGTGTTTGTGTCTGTCTTGTTCTCTGTTGTGATAATTTACCATTTTTTTTCTGATGTTGGAGAAAAAATTCCAAGAGAGAAAACGAGTCAGCTAGCAGAGTGGTGGCAAAGATAGTGATTGAGATGTTGTTTTAAGCAGTATTGAATCTGAGTAAAGATGACAATGAAAAAAAAAAAGAGCAGCTTACTTTCTCTGTGTATTGTGCATGCAATTTTTTAAATTGTTCTTTAAAGTAGGGATTTTGTTTTGATCTTTTCATAGTGTCTGGCAGCACATTGACTGCATGGGGATTGACAGACAGCATATTCCTGACATATATCTGTGTGAACGTTGCCAACCCAGGTGAGTAGTTTGGTTGATTTTGAACTCTAAAACAGAATGGAGCAGTGCACAACTGGTATTTTTCCAAGTATCTGAATGTTTAGTTACTTTACTGTTTATTCTGTAATAGTCAATGGGAAATGCCAGAGGTGTGTTCTAATACTGAAATGTGCTGATTTATTTTCTAATTTCAGGAGTTTAGATAAAGAAAGAGCAGTGCTGTTGCAGCGAAGGAAACGGGAAAATATGTCAGGTGAGTAAAATGTAAAGCTCTTTTCTTAGTAAAGGTGATAAAATAAGTGTAAATTATATATAAAGACTTCAGAGCACATACATGGTTCCTACAGTTTTGAGAGCCTTCAGCATATAAGGTTCAGTAAATCAATGCCTTTTACTTGATTGTATTTTACCAAGATAACATAGTATCGGAATTGTTGTAGCTCCACCTGTTTTATTAATGGTTTTCAGCACTCTGGGTTTTTTATAGCAGTGTGGAATAATTCAATCTGTTCAATAGTGATCAAGTTTCTTAATAAGCAGTGTTGCTTTTATAATAACTGTAACTCCTTTAACTAAGGTGCTGAAAAAAAAGTGGAAAAGCTTTAAGTTTCTTCTCTTGGAATGAGAGAGGATTTCTAAGTCTTCTTTCATTCTGGAAAAAAATTTCAGAGAGAAATCCTAATTCTTATATGTTGGATGTAGATTGGGTGTTTTGGTATGGCTCTGGAGTTTTTTGGACAATGGGAAAAGTTGTTAAACCAAGCCCATATGATGTAGGTAATAATGATGTTTTGAGGGTTTTTTGCCTTTGATAACCAAGGTGGCATGTAGTGCAAGTACCCATTTCAGTCTGAGTATTTTATGCAAGTAGTTCTTGAGCTTTGAAATCTTGAACAGGATTTCAAAACTCACCTGGCCTAACTTGTCAGGAGTTCTGTGTGGCCATTACCAAAGCCTGTTGTAGAATTCTTGGTTGACAGCTGCTACTTTCAAGCTCTATTACAAAAGTAATAACCTGGGAGGAGGTCATCTCCTAAATGTAACATGTTTTACTTCCAGATCATGTCTCTGAAGTAGTGGAGTGTGTGTGTGTGTATTTGAAGATTTCTTTTAAAATTACCATGTAAATATGGTCCTGCTTCCCATGTCATCTGGCTTCAGAAAGTCTGAGGGGTGTGTGGCACAACTGTGCTTCTTGGTGCAGTTGACACTTGGTGTTGTCTGGTACTAAGTTGTCTAAAGCCCTTTAAAGGTGTTAATGACCTACTTACAAAACCAGAGTCATTTTTTGTTTTGTCTGTTTTCATTTTAACAAAACCAAGCTCAATTTATACAGTTTTGGTTGGCCTACTAAGTCAAATTTAAATTGTAAAAATTTTTTGAATTTAAAATGATTTTTGTTGATTCTATTGAAATAGCAGAACAAGTAGATTGATAATTCATTTGCAGTTTATGAGTTCACTGACTGCTCTGATAATACTGTGAAGTGGGACTTGAATTTTCATAACAAATAGGGGAAGTTGATGATCTGAGCTATTTAATCTCTTGGGATTTGCAGGCACACTATCTGATCATTTACTGGTAAACTTAAGTGAAGAGAGATTAAAAATCTTAGGAGGAGCTGATGAGATCTTCCTTTGAAGTTAGTGTTTAACCCTCCTCAGTCTTGATCAGTGTTCTAAATCTGTTACATGAATTCAGTAGGAAAGGAAATACTAAATGTTAAGCCAAAGTATCAAAACAGTTGAAAGGCAAATTCTGGTTCTCTTTAATCTAAAATGTGATCAAAGTGCAGTATTGATTACTGTGATTTATAATACATAACTTGAATGTCTGTGCTTACACCTCTTAATTTCCATTTAGCTTGGGTGAATGTACTTTATGTTGACTGCTGTACAGTTTGGTTGGACTCAGTGGTTTTGGATATAAACTGAGATGTGTGACATTAGTAAAATGGGCAATTTTCACTGATGATTGCAAGTAGGAAAAGCGAAAGTAGCATCAATTTGAATGGATCTTTTCAATATTTTAGATACTCAACAGAAGCAGAATGTTACTTTTAACTTAATTATTAGTAATTTACAGGTGTTTGATAAAAGGTAGGACTGCATAATTTGTCTGCTCTTTGATGAATAAGTCTGTATATATAGGACTTTTCACTTAAATATGAGAATTCTCTAGAGTAAAATATCTTTGTTGTAAAGATTTCTAAAGAGTTACTGGTTTAACCTTTGGATGAAACACAGCTAACAGTGGGGAGAAAGTAGATCGGTTAGTTTGCTTCAAGAAAAGAGCTTTTAATTGAACATTTCACATGGTAGAAAATTTTGTGTGTTAAGCTTTTATGTGTAACCACATCATCCTTTTTCTGGCAATGTTCTTAGCCCATTCTTCTGGGCCCTGTGGTTGGATGAGATGGTGTTGATTTTGTTTTTCTGGTATAAAAGTCCAGTTCTGGTGCAGCTCAATGTGCAGTGCATTACTGACTGTGGTTCAGTGAACTGAGCACCTTTGTCAAGCCAATACTCTCTCAGTTGTATACTGGCTGTTTTGGGTTTTGCTGGGAAATTTCTTTTGGGTTTTTGGGTTTTTTGGCTTTTTTTTAAGATGAGATATCTCGATGTGTAACATAAACAAGGATGTTGCTTCAAGCCGTTTGGCCTTGAAATTGCTGCTGTCAGGATCACTTGCTGCTTATGGGTAAAATGATCTGGGCCCAGAACTTGTGAAATTTGGAGAGTTTGTGATTTTGCTTCTGACTGCAAACTCAAGATCTCCCCTTAGTGTGCTTTACCAAGGCTCTTCAAAGTGAAAGCAGGTTATGTAGGTTAGAAAGGAGTGTCTCAAAACAACTCCATGTAATTACATGTTCAGCTGAGGTAATTATTTTTTACAGTAAGTTAGAGCACAGTGCAGACAGCAATACTGAAATGTTGCTTCCCTAAGGAAAACAGTGTTTTGTGGGGTTTGGGGCAAGGGGAGAGGTGTGTGGCTGTGATGTCATGATTCTGCAGGCACTAGCGTATGGACTGCAGCCACTGACAATTTTAAGTTTCTGTTTCCCAGACATTGGTTATTTTGCTATTTACTCTTCTTTGATTAGACGTTTCTTCTTTCCTTGTGCTTTTTATGCTCATTTAGAAAATATTCTCAGCAGAGATGTTAACAAATTCAGTAAACATCATAAATTCCTAGCTTATGAAATATAATTATGTGCCTGATAAGGTGTTCAAAAGAATAACCATGATGGTAAGGTGGGATTGTTTACTATGCACAGAAGAATCCTGTTAAGGAATGTTGTGAGCAGGAAAAATCCAGAGTAACCAGAGTAGCTGGAGTTCTTTATTTAGTAAAGAGGGTTTTGAGAATTAGGACTGCTGAGTGCACTGATTAAAGCAACATCCTTCTGAGAGCAGAAGGAATGTTTTCTCTGCTCTCATATTAAGTATTTGTAAAGCTTGCTTCTGTGCTGGGTGAGAAAGTTTTACTTAGTGTGAAGTGTATTTACTGAATGCAGAGTATTTGGAAAAGCTGCTAAAGTCTGAGAAGCCTGTACTGAGCACATGCAAACAACAGTCTCTTATCTGTGTGCATCATCTCTCTTCCAATCCTCCCCATCCTTCACAGCCTTTCATCTTGACAGAACTAGGGTAATCCTGTTTCAGGTCAGGATATGTGTTTGTCTGACATAAATGCTGATGTATGCTAGATTTCAGGCTTTGGCCTTTAGGTCTGTGAGAGCACAGCACAAAGAAAAAGTATCTGTCAGTTTATGTCTGATCATCTCTTTTCTCTTCCTGAGTAGCAGAATGTTACTGTTGGGGATTTTGAGTACAAAAGGCTTTTGGCTAAATTGACGTATTAACCCTGAAAAAGGCACTTGACAGTGCAAATTGCAGCTGAAATAGTTGATTATGACTATGACATGTGATTAATTAATAGAGCTTCACAAGAAATGCTGGCCAGTCATTAATTTTAATCCCTTCCAGAATACAGTCATCTGAGGGAATCCAAATGCTGTATTACAAGTAAAAGCTATATATAAGTGAATGTGTTAACAGATTTTTTTTACCTTTTTTGTTCTGGTTCTAATTTTGTTTAAAATGGAATATGGTCTTTAATTCCATTCAAAGAATGGAATTTATTCTGGTACCTTTTTCTTACCTTGCATTACAAACCTGTCTTAATTACCAGTTTCTCATTGGTCCTTCATTTTCATGCTGTTGCAACTGTTGGTGAATTTTGCATATGAATGCTTGGAGCATTTGTCATTATGAATTTTTGTATTTTGGAAACAGATGTAGAGTAACTAGTGAGTGTTCTAGTGTTCTTTCTGCAGTACTTGATTATTTAGAGTGTTCTTTGTTTTAAAGATGGGGACACCAGTGCAACAGAGAGTGGTGATGAGGTTCCTGTGGAACTGTATACGGCTTATCAACACACACCAACGACAATTACTTTAACTGCTACAAGAGTTACAAAAGTTAATGATAAGAAGAGGAAAAAAAGTGGAGAGAAAGAACAGAACATAGCAAAATGTAAAAAAGTAAGTGAATGTAATTTCTCTTATTACTTTGTGTTATAATTTATAGCTATGTGACATTTCTTACCAAGAGACACTGATTTAAAAATCAGGCTATTTTACTACCTGGGTTTAGCTTGAAATATATTACTCTGCAGTAAATTAGTGTCTTCCTGGGTGCCTGACCCCCACGACTCCTCCTTATTTCAAGTTAATATATCCTGCCTGGGCATGTTCAGTTTTATAATGGAGGCAGAATCTCCCCACAAGAATTGCATTTACTGGACCATTTGAAATAGTTAGAGGTGGTACAGAACAAGCTTTGGGTTACCCAAAGAAGAATTCCTTGGAAGTCTTCATTTGTGGTGGTTTTAAGTACAGAAATGTTTGCCATTGGTTGTCCTGATGTGACTCCATTTATTTGAGTAGAAATTGTGTAGAAGTGTGCTGTCAGAAAGCTAGCTGCTAAACTAATTAGAGTAAAAAAATAATGACATTATGCTGTTTAGCTGCAGATGTACAAACAGTATATGTGAAGACAAAACATATGTGAGGAAGTAAAGTACATGAAACTTCCTGAACAAGTGGTTTTCATGGTTAATTTCCTTGGCTTGTATGAGAATTTTGTTCTTTAAAACTTCAAAGTCAGAATAAGTTATTGATGTCTTTTTTGCTATCTTTAGTAAAATGTTTCCTTTTGATTGAATAATTCTCAGTACAAATCAGTTGCCATGTATTCTTCTGTTACCTCTGATATTTTAGCTTGGATTCTGAATTTCTGGAGAACCAAGTTGTAATGTGAGAGAAAGGTAGAGGTACCTGACTACTGTGCACTTAGTTAGGAATGCTGAATGCTTTTAAAATACATTTTGTGAGACGTAACCTCTTACCTTCTTGAGATTTCAGCATGGTTTGTTCTGTTCTTTTCATCTTTTGTGTTTAATTGAAAAGTTGTTCATTAATAGGTTTTCAATTCCTTAAGAGATTTTGTATTTCCTCCAGTGAATATGAATATCTTAATTTTATTCCAGGCATTTCGAGAAGGATCCAGGAAGTCTTCAAGAGTAAAGGTAATGTGATTTTGTTTGGGTTTTGTTTCATACCTTAACTGTATGTTACTTAAATAATAAGCATCAAGAATATAATTGGGGCTATACACTAAGAACTATTCTCTTCTTGGTAACTAATATATTACATATGCATCATAGTGATTTTAAATTAAGGCATGAGCACTACATCTCTGTCCTCCGAAATTAACTGAAATAATTAGTGCAAATTTTTATTTCAAGAGCCAGTGGATTAATTGGCGCTCATGTGTGCTATGCAAGGGAGTAAAATTGAGTGAACGCTTCATTTAAGTTTAGTGGTTCCAGCTTTTCATAACTGTTTAGCAGCAAAATAATGAAATAGCTGTACTGAATTTGAAAGCTAAGTTAGTGGTTCTGCTCTGTCAAACCTCCATCTACACCTGGTGGGACTCCTGTATATCTGGCAGGATTTTAATCACTGGTACTGGCATAGTCTGAGGAAATTTTATTGGGATGTCTGCTTTGTAAGATTTAAGCAGTCTTTAAATTTTCTGTGATATAAAAATGTGCATGGTGTGAGAACTAGGTATTTCCATAGTTCATTCATACTTGGAATATATAAAAACAAGTGGGATGCAATTTATGCTTCAAATGTGTAAGATGTGCCTTGGGAACAGTGAAGACTGAATTGAGGAAGAAAAATCTCTAATTTTGTGGGTTTTTTTTAATATGGTGCTTGTAAGGTTCCATTGTTTTTTCATGGCTGTCTTAGCATCACACCTTTGAAATGCTGTTTGTATGTATGGTTTTCTTCATGCACAAAAGAAATGTAACCAGGTCAATTGAATTGCTGAACTACTTGTGTTTTATTAATGTTTAATAGTGTCTCTGCTCAGGTGGATAGAAAAGGGAGCGTTGGCTGGCTGCTGCTGTCCGTAAGGAGCTTTGGTTGGCTGCAGCCTGGCTGCTGCTTGTGAGGTCTGGAGGTACAATGGCACTTTCTTTAAAAGTGAAAGGATCTGAAGCACTGCAGAAGGAAATTGTATAGTGAGGAGCAGATAAGGAGGGAAAAATTTTATGTGCAAAGCCTGTAACATTAGAGTCACAACCTTAATGTAGCAGGTGTACGGTTAGTGAAGTTTAGTAAGTTATGCAGCAGAAGAAAAGATACAGCATGATCTTTGAAGTTAAAAGGAGAATGAATATCAAGTCTGTGTATTACAGGATAAAAGCTGGAGTTCTCTGTATTTGCATATGTTCACAAAAGTTGAGTGGGCAGGGAGACCTGACCCTCCAACTCTTGCACTTAAATTCGTGATGCAGTGCAGTTGTGGGAGGAAACAATGTCACTCTCCATTCTCATCCCACTAAGAGCAGGAGTCACTGTTGAGGAGGGAAAGCATTCCTGAATTTGGGTGATACTTAATAATAAAATTCTTTAAAGGACGAATGTAATGGGACGGAATTTAACTCAATGTTTTTAAGTAATACAAAGTTTTATACTAGACTTGCTGAAGAAACCCAACCCATAAAAAGTGGCATACCTTTGCCTATCAGTTTGTGTCTTGTTAAAGAATTTTTCTTTTTTTTTTTTAATATCTTGCCTTCTAATATCTGGTGACTTACTTCAATTTTTAGGGCTCAGCTCCAGAGATTGATCCTACTGACAGTTCGAACTTTGGATGGGAAAATAAAATCAAGGCATGGATGGATCGCTATGAAGAAGCAAATAATAACCAATACAGTGAAGGTGTCCAGAGGGAGGCACAAAAAATAGCTCTCAGATTAGGCAATGGAAATGACAAAAAAGAAGTCAGCACCAGCAATCTGATTTTCAAACCTCCAGTAGAGGTAATGAGCTGTGCCTTGTTGTGTTACTGCATGCTCTGTTTGTGCCATGACATTAGATGCCTTAAAGAAACCCCAACCAACCAAAAAACCCCAAACCAAAACAAAAAAAAGCCACAGGAAAAAAACCACAAAAAAAGGGACTTCACATTCACTTTCTTTTCCTTGTCTCACCAGATTTGAGCATCAGAATTTTAACATATTTTTCAGATTTTTACACATCCTGTAGCACCCTGGTTATGTTTACATTTGCATATCATTTATCCTAAAAAGTAGCTAAGGTGTTAGTTTCAGCCTGAATATTGGGTTGCCCTTAGACTGTCTCTTGACACATAGTCAGCTTTAGTCAGCTTTGCTGCTGTTTCTCTCTGAGAGATACCTGGAGTTGTTACAGTAGAAAGAACCATTAGAAGTGAATTTATTTTTTCCCCCTACTGTGTGTATCATGATGTTCATTGTCTACATTTTTCTTAAGGTGTGGTAAGTGTTCTGGATGTTCATGGTGGTATTTCTGATACTGATTCTTTTTTGACTCATGATCCTGTAATTTCTAGTTTATGAGGAAATTGTGCAATGCTTTCATCTAGCCTTATTTATCAGTAACTTACCAGTTATTTACATGCTTAAAATCAGAGCCATGTAAAAAACTTAGCATTTTGTAGCAGAAATCTGGAGGAGTAGTTACTGTAGCAGATTAATGGAAGCATCTTTGCTTCTTTTTCTCAAAGACCATAATGGCATATGGGACACCCTCCTTAGAGGATTATCCCTACTTACAGAGCCTTTTGCCTACATAGAGGCTACTTCCTTTTTCATTGGTGATGGCAGTTATGAGAGGTGTGAGTTCACTAATTGCCAGGGTATGTATTGGTTTTTAATTAAAGCCATCCTTCCATCTAAAGATATGAAAATGAATTTGGAAACTCTGTCAGGATTCTTTTTTTTCCCAATTATTATGTTATTCCCTGTTTTGATTTTTCTTTAATGAGTTGTGAATGTCTGCATGTTTTGTTTTGTTCAAAGGAATTGTAGCTTTTTGAAAGTGTTGTGCAAAACAATGCAGCAATTCATCCTAGTCATGGTGAGAGTTAAGTGCACTAAAGGCTATAGTACTTGAATTGTAAAAACATGAATATGTTGGTTTTTAGCCATGTCCTGGAGAGCTAGGGCCAAAGCATTCCTTATGTCTAAATTGATAACTAGTGGCATTGCTAGGTGAGCAAGACAGCTTGGTCAGTTCAGTCTGGAGGTTTAATTACAAAAAGAAGGGGTTTTTTTAGTTAATATAAAATTGTTTAATAGTTGTGAAAATATAATATGCTATTAATGGAAAAATGGTAGAAAGTAAAAATTCATAAATGAATCTATGTCTTTACAGAGTTATGTGCAAAAAAACAAGAAAATTTTAAAGGCTGCCAAAGACTTGCCTCCTGATGCACTTATTATTGAATATAGAGGAAAGTTCATGCTGAGAGAACAATTTGAAGCTAATGGATATTTCTTTAAAAGGTTTGTTCATTCTTTATGTTTCAGTCAAGTGATTGTTAAAATGATGCTTGCCAAACTGTTGCTTCAAGTACAAGTGGATCTTAGTTACCAGCAGGGTCTTGTATTTTACTTTGTGTGATTAAAAGTAATGACAGCTGGAACCTTTTCTGTCCCCTTCTCTTCTGGATATCCTTACAGATTTATTCAGGAACTGGTTTTCTCTTTTTTGTTCCTCCCTGATTATAGAATTCCTGCATGCTCAATTGGGTAGGAAAAAGACAGGTTCTGCCATCATAAAATAATGACTATATTAATGGTAAAAGTTTTATTTTTTGTGAGAGAAATGGATTTTAAGTCCACAAGGCTGAGAATGAAATTGGACACAGATCAGCTTGGGGCTGTTTTACTGCCAGAGCTCTCTAGTTAGTTTACTGAGCAGTGTGTGGCTGCTTCCTTCTTCTGTGGGTTGGTTTTGATGCTGCCACTAACTGCATGAACACACCTCCTCAGAAATTTGCAGAAGGCCTCTTGGGGGAGATGGAGCTTTTGCTCAGTAAAGATACAAGGTTCCTTGGAAAAGCAGAATTTAAAGTAGGACTTCATAAAGTATTTGGAGGCCCCTTTCCTTCAGGAGGGTTGGTGCTAGTGATGCTGCAGGTATTAGGCAGGGATGTGGTGGTCTTACTTTTTTAAAAAAACTATTCTATGTGATGTATAAATTTCTGAGTTTCATTTTGTCATAAAAAAAGTTAAAGAAATTAGAAAAGCTTTAACTGTGTGTCTTCCATGTCTAGTGCTTGCTGTGTTAATGTTCTCCCTGTGGATCCTATGCAGATGATACAGGGCTGTAACTCCATTTTGAGGTATTCTGAGAATATATGTGGGGAATATATCATTATAATACATATAATGAAGCTTGAACATGTCATTCTTAGATTAGCCTCCAAATTTGGTGTATTGTACCAAGCATCATGTTACAAAGCTGTCTAACAAGGAGAATAAGCACTGTTTATTATCTTGAAAAATTATGAAATTCCCAATTTTCTTGTGTGTTTTTCAGGCCGTACCCATTTGTTTTGTTTTACTCCAAATTCCATGGGCTAGAAATGTGTGTTGATGCAAGAACTTTTGGAAATGAGGCTCGATTTATCAGACGTTCATGTACACCAAATGCAGAGGTGAGCTCCTTTAGAAAGTTGAACTAGGTTTCATTTACTTAGGAATCTCCTTTTCCATGAGATTCCTGATAATCTGAGCAATCCCTACAATTTTTATACAAGAACTTGAAAGTAATTCATGATAATATAATAACATTCTCTTGATTACAGGTGAGGCATGTAATTGAAGATGGAACAATTCATCTTTATATTTACTCCATCCATAACATTCCAAAGGGAGCAGAGATTACCATAGCATTTGATTTTGATTATGGAAATTGGTAAGTATTTGAGAATACTGTTCTAAAGTACCTCTGATGCTCAGTAAGTTACTTTGCAATTCAGAATGACTTTGGTTTTGCATCATTTACTTTCTTGCATGTTTTAATAACACAAAGCTCCTTAGGCACTGTATTTACAGTGAACAATGTGTGTGTGGGCAGAGTTGTGTATTTTTATTACTGCATTCTGTGGCCTGCTCTTAAGCCAGCTTGGATGCAGTGCTGTGCAGACCTGCCTTTGCTGCTTGACCTGAACTGTGTGTGGCCAGAGCACGTGTGCTAATCAGCACGGGTTCACACTATCTCAAGATACTGGGCACTGTTCAGAGTTGTAGACATACTCCTTCTAAAAATACATAATAGTTGTGTTTAGTACCTGAAACAACTGACAGCTTGTTTCGGTTGAACAGGTTTGAATTTCCTGTGTATTCAAGTGGAACTTAGAATTGTGCAAAAGTGAACTCTGCGTTTGGTGTGCTTGTGCTGTAAATTGTGTTTGCCATTTTTGCATATAAAATGAACTCTGACTAAATGCATCTGGTTTGTGTTGGTTATATTTTCTCCTAGGATTATACTCAGGTTTTAGGTGTCTTTTGGCCTTCAAGCAGAATACTAACTTGAATTTAAAGGAATTCTGTGTGGCAGAGCTAAAGAATTAACCTGTAGTTACAGTTTTTGAGTTACAGTAGTGTTGTATATTGTGGTGAAAACTCAAGTGACCTACATGTTAACATGATTGGTTTGCATTATAGCAGATGTTTAATGTGAAATATCAGTGATTCAGTATTGAAGGGTCTCATTGCTGTACAACCTAATCAAATATGCCTTCTCACATTTAATTACTTGCAGTAAATACAAAGTGGATTGTGCTTGCCTCAAAGAAAATCCTGAGTGTCCAGTTCTCAGACGTTCCGAGCCTACAGAAAACATCAATACTGGATATGAAACTAGAAGGAAAAAGGGAAAGAAAGAGAAAGATGTTTCAAGAGAAAAAGAGACTCAAAATCAGAACATCACATTGGATTGTGAAGGAGCAGCCACCAAAATGAAAATTGCAGATAATAAACAGAGGAAGCTCTCTCCCCTCAGGCTGTCCATTTCTAATAATCAGGTACTGACACAAAGATGCTCAGAAATAATTTAAACTTTCTCATTTGAGAGTGATTTTTGATCTGTGTTTTGTGTCATGTTTTCAAGAAATGATAGCTGGTATATGGAATCTTCTCCTGGTCTTTTTATGTAATATACAGTGCTTATATAGAACATTCACAGGAGAACTTGTGTTGTTTTTCAAAATTGAAGAGTAGGAATTGTGGGAAGAAAAAAGCTGTTAAAAGTGCATTTACATTTTCCCATACACTTTCTTTATGGTAGCACCATATGTATCACCCCAGGAAAAAGCTACTAATTGCCTGGTGTCTATGTTTAGATATATATTTTAGGACAAACTTTCAATCTTTGTCTAGTCCTTTATGTAAAAGTGAAATCGCATATAGGACTAGTGAATGCTTAATTAGTTTCAAAGTTACACTTTCATGCTTGTTTTTTCTTTGAAAACAGAAAACCATTGTTAGTTAGGTAACTTCTGTGTTTCCATATGATGTGGCACCATCATTAGATTCTATAGTGAATGTTCAAATGGAAAATGTGACTTCAGTTGAGTACACTTCAGAGCTGAGTAAAACTTCTGTGTAATTGATAACATCTATTTTGGCATTCATTCCATTTCACTAAAAATAACACTTTTTTGTGGGTGGATAATATAAAGCTCCTAACTATTTAACTGATTATAAAATGGTTAGAGCAGTGGCCATTGTTAGTGTCCTAAAGTTTCCTTTGTTTTGAAGGTTTCATTCTGATACTTCTTTTTGCTTGGTGGGATGAGGGAGTGGGGATGGAACACTTTTCATCCTGATTTGTTAGTTTGGCTGCTTCGGATGTAGTGGTCTGAGGATTCTTAGTTCTTTGTAGCTTTCAGTTCACTCTGATTTGCAAAAGGAGTAGAATTTCTGTAAAACAGTCGCTTCCATCTTGCAGGAGCCAGATTTTATCGATGATATAGAAGAAAAAACTCCCATTAGCAATGAAGTAGAAATGGAATCAGAGGAGCAGATTGCAGAAAGGAAAAGGAAGATGGTAAGTTGGGAAGCAAGTAGCTGCCTAAAAGGCATCATTAAGGCTTAGTGACACCTGCTCTTCCTATGCTAATTGCTGCCTTTTTGTGGGCTTGTACAATCTGAGCATGTGCAAAGTCAGATCCTTACATGAACTTAGCCTTAAAATGCAAGGCTTGCTATTTGAGAACAGTTCATCTGGGTTCATCACTGCATTCTGACAAAAATCTGCTTTTCTCTTTAATTGTATATCATTTTTTAGTGTCTTTAGATGATTTCTGCAATGCCTGTTTTAGATCTCATTATTTGCTCTTTTATTATTGCTTGTGATTTGTAATGTCTATTTTTATAGCTAGCATTGGGAATTAAGATTTTCCCCTATTTTATTTTAATTCCCTACTTGAATAAAAAGTCACAAAAATCCTAATTTTTTGGTTTTGGTAGAACAGTGTTAATAAAAATAGCATCTTAAAATCTTCCTTTTTTGTTAGTATTAAAAAAATTAGGCAAGTTCTTAAATTCAGAGTAGGATTCTCTTGTTTGTCAAGCTGGTATGGATGCAAGCCTTTCTTCAGAAGTCCCGTATTTGCAGTGATTGTAACATATCCTTTTAATCTGATCTCCTCCTAAACTTGATCTTCATGTCAGACATATACTGAACTTGTTTAGAAGTACTTGAAAAAATAGAAGCGAGAGTAATTAAATATTTTGTATGTATGGAAGATTATGACTAAAACTGATCGTGATTTTTGTTAAATCCATCAGACAAGAGAAGAACGGAAAATGGAAGCTATCCTGCAAGCTTTTGCCAGACTAGAAAAAAGAGAAAAAAGAAGAGAACAGGCTTTGGAAAGAATCAGCACAGCAAAAACGGAGGTTAAATCAGAATGCAAGGAAGCACAGATTCTCAATGATGCTGAATTTATTCAGGTAGTTATCTGGAGCTTTATTATAAAGCTAGCTTTTAACATTGCCTATTTTATCGGTTTGGCTGGCACACTGCATGTTAAGATGTATAAATTTTTTTATCTCCAAACTCAATTATATGTTACCAAAATGTTCTTTGACATTACACTTTATTAGCTCCTGATTTTTTTTCCAGATAAGATACATATAGAATTCTTTAATGAAGAATTTCAGTTACATGAATTTATGCAAACATACACACATACACCCACACTAGCTGTGTAATTCAGTCTGTCTTTGAAGTTCAGGATAGAACATTTATCAGTGTTGACTTTAGCCACAGGAGGTGACTGTCCTTAGGCACCCTCTGTAACCAATGGAGAGATATTTGTTTTTTTCAGTGGGTTTTTCAGGAACGCTTACTAGTGTTCCTGAACAGATAGTATTCTAATATTTCTGTTATTTTAAAGGAAATAGGTTAGTCAAGTGTTTTTTTTCTGAGTTCTTGCAGATGATACTTCATGTTTTATAACAGTTTTTAACTCTGTTGTTAATGGATGCTTCTTAGTTTGCAAATACTAATTTAATGATTCCCAGTCCAGGTTGTTTCCCTGAGCTGTGTATGTCAGCATTCTCTTAAGTACCTTTTGTGACAAAGCTAAACACCTAGTTAAACTATGAATTGCTAAAAGAATATTGGATTGAAAGATATGGTGAGACAAGCAGTTGATTTCTAGCTTATGGATGAATGAATGTTGTGATCTGACTGGTGATGGGTGTGTGTGAGCACTGCTGCTGATGATACAGCAGGTGCTTGGGAGGAAACTACAGGAAATGCTGTCATTTGCCTTCAAGGAGGAGAAATTGTTGTAGTTCTGACAACAAAAATGAGATTGAGACTTTCTTCTGTAAAAGAAGAGAGAACTGACTTCTTTTCTTTCCTAAGAAAGATAAGTAGCTCTAGACATGTGTGGGATCTGATTACTTGACTTTTGTCGTGTCCCAGGAACCGGCAAAAGAAGAAACTGCCACCAAGCCCACCCCAGCCAAAGTTAACAGAACTAAGCAGAGGAAAAGCTTCTCCCGGAGCAGAACTCACATCGGGCAGCAGCGCAGGCGGCACAGGACCGTCAGCATGTGCTCAGATATCCAGCCCTCCTCTCCTGATGTGGAAGTCACTTCACAGCACAACGAAACTGAGAATACAGCACTGGTAGCTGAGCCTGAAACAGAAACTGTTGTTACAGAAATGGTTACTGAAACAGAAGCTCCAGCACTTAGTAAATGCCCTACAAAGTATCCAAAAACAAAGAAGGTAAGTCTCTTGAGGGATGAGGAAAAGATGGACCTTAACAGAGTTTTTAAAAAATTATGGGCTGCTTCATCAGTGTGCAACTGCATGTATGGGTTGTTTTTAAAATGTTTACTCATTTCTTGAAAAATCACCATTGTATAGTCACTCATTGGTAATAGATTAAAATAGGAGTAACATCGTTTGGTGGAAGTTATTTTGGATTGAAGACACTTCCAAATTACATCTTCAGAGCAATTTGGGAACAAAATGTTTTCTAAATGAACTTTCTAAATGGATTGAATATATTTTGAAATAACCAAAATATAATTAAAGCTGAATTTAAAGAGAAACCCAAGGAAATAAAAGTTGCCAATCCTTTGTTCATTGTATGCTTCAGATAGCAAACAATATCTCCAAGAAACTCACTGACTCCTAGTACTTCTCAGCTGTGTTCTGATGTAAATGGATCTAAACACCACAAATGTGTATGTGCATGTTTGGAGGGAAAATTCTTTACTTTTTAATGCTACTTTTCTTTTAAATTTCTTTCCATTAGATGCATTGCAAAAAAGTACAAAATGGCACAATATTAAAAGACACTCAAAAATCTTGTATCTGCAAGTACAACTAAAGAAGTACATCTTTCTGCTTTAAATTTCACAGAATGCATTAAAAAGTATTTGTAGTGTGATTTATAAGAAAATTTTAATCAGTGGAGGAAAAGGGGGGATGGGGAGTCAAAGGTCAAAACTTCTTGTCAAAAGAAAAACAACAATTTTAAGATGGTTTTCTATCTTAAACCCCCAAACATAATTTAGATAAGTTTTTTCCCAAAGGTACCTGAGTCATTCTGTAACACTGCTTGTTTGCATCACTGTTACATTCTTGTGAGGGGGAACACTTCTTCCTTTCTTGCCTGTTGCATAGCAGAAAAGAAGGAAGAAATGTTGAATACTCTGAAACAGAAAAAAAGAGCAGTAAAATTCAGGCTTCAGGTATCTGTGAAATGTCTCTGCATTGCATCCATTGTACCCTAAGTGCAGAGAAGGTCTTGCTTTAAAAATTAATAAAATAAAAATGGATTTTTAAAAGACAAAATAAAATGTATTATGATACTTTGTGTTAAAGTCTTGATATCATACTAATATTATTTACTGTTGCGTGTCCTTAATTTTGAATCACTGTAAAATCCAGGAGGTTAGTTTATCTGTTAATAAAAACTAAAATTTACTGGCATATTTTTTAAAACACTGAACTAGCTAGGAAATACTAGCCTTTTTGGACCAGTGTGTCTTTGTGTTCAATTACACCAAGTTTACTACCACAGTTGGAGAGTGTTGAAGGCAGCTGCCTGACGTGTTGGCTGAGGCACAGTCCTGACAGTATGGAAATCAGATGAGAGGCTTCTTTAATTTTGCTCTGTTAACGTTACACTATTTGTCCTCAGCCTGGTACTCAAGCAGAAGTTGAAATTTTGTTTTAGAATTCTGTTACTGAATTGACATCCTAATTGATGTAGATGCTTTTATTGTAATGTTGAGTGAGAATTAAATGCAGAAGAACTAAGTGTAGTTTACAACAAAAGGAAATAACTAAACACCCCTGTCCCTCCCCCAGACTGGTGTGTCAGCAAACCTGTACTGATTTTTTCTGCTGTTCCCATGATTTCACTAAACTGAGCTCATTCTTGCCAGGTCTTCTTAAACTTGGATCCTGGAAACTGTATCTGGTTTGTGTAGTAGTTGACTAGATGAATAATTCAACTAAACACTTCTAAAAAGCCACTGGTAAACACACTCATAAAGTACTAATTATTGTTTTTTTTTTCTTTCTCTGTTTAGCACTTGGTTAGTGAATGGTTAAGTGAAAAGAGTGAGAAAGCAGGGAAGCCTACAGACACTGTGCCAGAAAGGCCTCTACGCATAACCACAGACCCTGAAGTTCTGGCTACCCAGCTGAACTCCTTACCTGGCCTCACTTACAGCCCACACGTGTACTCAACTCCAAAGCACTATATCCGCTTTACTTCTCCATTCCTTTCAGAAAAGAGGAGGAAAAAAGAACCTGTGGAAAACATTACTGGCTCTTGTAAGAAGGTAACGCTTCCCTTCATTGTGGTGTTCTATCCCATATTAATTAAAAAGAAATCTTTATTTACTAGCATAAATTCAGGCAGAAAAAGGCTGTTTGGGAAACCAGTCGTGCTACACATTTTGAAATGTTCATCATTAAAGTTTTAAGTTGCTAATTGGAACTTCTTGGTTTTTTACAGCGTTGGTTGAAGCAGGCTTTGGAAGAAGAAAACTCAACAACGATTGACAGATTTAATTCACCATCACAAGAGAGATCTAGAAGTCCAGCCATCAATGGTGAACATAAAAGTCCTTTATTACTGAATGACAGCTGTTCCTTAACAGGTGTGAAGCTTTTGTAAATACACCATATAAGAGCTATGATGAAGTAGCTGATTGTGGAGCACTGTGTTTTTAAATTGATGACTTGATGAAAATTCCAGGGATATTTTCATGTTTCCTGATACTTACTTTGAAAGAAATGTTTAGTTGCATAGCAGTTGGGAATTTTTCCCCTTTTAATGTGTATTAATAAGAAACCATTATATATCCTAGCATTTACAGTCAACAAAAGACTAATGGTTTTGCTATTAGTATTAAGAGGTCAGGTTATAAATTTAATTTTCTATGCTTTCTATATACTTAGAATCCCTTTAAAACTCAGTATGCCAGTGTAGTGCACAGGGGGAAAAGCTGTGTAATCTTGTAGGCATAATAGAAAATTGGAGTGCAGTAAAACCACCTTTTAGCTGAACAGTCTTAAAAATGCATAGAATTTGACTTGGCCTTCTCTGAAGGCATAGACAGTTCTTCCCAGCATCCTGGCACACTGAATTCCCTTACTGATATATCTGTAGGCTGCTAAGAGTTTATTTTTCAGGAAGCCTGTGGGTTGTTAAAAGTTCATCTCTCAGCAAGCCTGCCCTTCAGAGATTTTTTTTATCTTAAAATTCGTTAATTTGGAATTAACAATTTCATTACCTAAATTAATTAAACAGCTGTGATTGTTCTATCTAGAAATCATACAACTTTTTTCTAATTTTAACACACAGATCTAACCACACCACTAAAAAAACGAAGACTCTATCAGCTGTTGGAGTCTGCTTTCTCAGAAACCTCCACACCTACTCCTTCTCCCTATGCCACACCAACCCATGCTGACATCACTGCCTCCGAGCCATCGTTGTTTGCCACTCCTCCCCGGGTGAAAACAGAGGATGACGCTTGTCGAAATGGTTACAAACCCATCTATTCACCAGTTACTCCTGTAACTCCATGTATACATGGAAATACCATGCACTTTGAGGTGAGATTTGGCGTGAATTCTAGAGTGTTCAGAGGAAGTGTTCAGACATTGCAGTGTAAATCAGTATTTTGTAAAACTCCTGCTATAAAATGCAGGAGAGGTATTTCTTTAGGCTAAAAAATTGACTTGCAATTTCTTCTTGTTTATTTAGAATATTTCCTCACCTGACAGTTCCCCAGAAATAAAAAGGCGAGCTTACAGTCAAGAGGTAAGGAAATTTGTAGAACCTGCAAATGGTATCATTGCAAGTTCCTGAGAATTTAAAGGCTAACTTCCCCATAGATTTTACTTGCTTTCTCCTTTGTATTTCCACTTTACCTCTTATATTTTCTATTTTAAACTGGTTTCTCTCTGTATCACTTAAAAATCATGATTTGGATCAGGATCACCTTTTATAATGGAAAGGAGTAACTACTGCAATTTGTAAATAGGAACAGAAAGAGAACATTTTGTTTTCCAGGCTGTAGTTAGATTCAGATTACCATTTCTCCTTGTTACCAGCATTTCTAAATTGTTTCTGTTGATCCCAGTTATGCTCAAAGTGAAAGAGCAGAGCAGAAGGTTAGTGAGTCAGCATAGGCGGTGGATTAGTTGAAGAACAAGTGCTGTTGGAATATGCCTGGGTATTCCCAGCCTGCAGGGGGCATGTGTCCTGCCATAGGGCTTCATCCTAAAATTCAGAAGTGTCTTGGAAAAACTTCCTTGTCCTGCTTTGAAATAGGTGTTTTGACACTGAGGGAGGATTGCTTTTACATTGAAGCAAGTGCTTTCAAGCTTCCTGGCCTGGGACTTGCTCCTTTTGAAGCTCTTCCCCTTTCTCTGCCAGTCATAAATAAACCCTGACACTTAAATATTTATTTTTATTTTTGTTAATGTACATTTATTTAAATGCTTTCACATAATACATGGGAATAGTAAAACTAAGAATCTGGCTGTAGAATTGTTTCTTAAAAATTCATAAATTCATGGTACTGGCAGGCCTTTAATCCCACTTAACAGCACATCTGAATGTCAAATAGGTTTGATGGAATGTGAAGAAGTAGTTACATGTTTTTTCTTCATGCAGGGCTATGACAGAGCATCGATTCTAGCACTGAATTCTTTCAGAAATTCCAACCTGACAGAAATGGGCCTGCAAGAAATAAAGACTATTGGATATTCTAGTCCAAGGAACAGAACTGATGTCACACGGCAGTGCACTGGAGAAATGGAATCTGTGTCAGACCTCCAGCTGGGACTCGAAGTAATTGAGCAAAGTGCACTGCATAAAAACCTGGAAGCCCCCACACATGATAGGACTGATTCAAACAGCCAATTAGAAACTGCTCATTGTGGACGGGGCACAATTTATTCTTCCTGGGTAAAAAGTCCTGACAGGACAGGTGTAAATTTCTCAATGAATTCTAATTTGAGGGACTTGACCCCTTCACATCAGTTGGAGGTAGGAGGTGGATTCAGAATAAACGAGTCAAAGTGCCTGATTCAAGACGATGCGAGAGGCATGTTCATGGAAGCATCTGTTTTTTGTACTTCAGAAGATGGAATTGCACCTGGCTTTGGAAGGACTGTCAATAACGACAATTTGATGGATGGAAATTGCACACCCCAGAACCCTCCACAAAAGAAAAAGGTTATACATTTAAGAATCATTTGGTCTGTCTTCCATTGTCTGCTGATGATGTTTCTATAACAGAAAGAACCCCATTGTAATAAAAACCAACTCATGGCTCATATTTACACACTACAGTGTAGTAGACATTCAGGAGAAGTACTGAAGGGCAAAGAGCAAAGCTGCATAAAACTATTAGTAAATTTATTTTTCCAACGTAAAAGATACAAATTCTATTTCATATGAGTCTTAAATGAATTGCCCAATAAATAATTGCTTTTCAGGTTTGAAAATGGTTGCTTATGCCACCTGGTGTTTACAATGCTCTGTTATACATAATATATACTATCATCTTAGAGACCACATACTGTGAACATCTGTTATGAATTAATGCAAGAAGTTGCAAGAATAGATTTATGTTACTCAGACTTGAAAGTTACAACTGCACAGAAATCCTTAGTTCCAAGAAATATTTTTCTTGGCTTAATTTGGTTTTTTGGGGTTTTTTTTATTGTTTGAAAAATAAGCTCAATCTAAATTTGCTACTCTCATGAAACAGTTGTAGATAAGTGATATTGTCATGGCTAACTCAAACCAGGGTTGGAAGTTACTTTGTCTAATTCTTAGACTGCATTGTACTGTCAGGTTGACTCCCTTTGCAGAAAGAATGACAAAGATGGAAGGCAGTGGGCTCCAGTGTACCAGTTTGCCTGTTCTGTCTCATCACAGACTCTAGTAATTTTTCTTGTTTGAAAGGTGTGATTTATTTTCTTTACAGAAGTAGTGGTGAGGAGGTTGAGGTTTTCTGCATGTGTACATGGCTGCACAGTGGGGTCCAGGGCTTTTTGGTCACATTGCAGCCCCTTGTATATTCTTGCTGCTCTGGAGCATCCTGCTTTGGTGCACTGAGGAGTCTCCCTTCAGTAGTTCTTCATCAGAACTGGATTTTTGTTTACTTGCTTCAAGCTGAGACATAAATGGAGCAATATTGTAGGAGCTCTGATCTTACCTGGTCACAGCCCTGAGAATTTGATAGATCGTGTGTGTGTTACTGCAGCCCTGCTAGTTTGGCAAACCAGAAAAGAAAACAGAAGCCAAAATTCCTGTAACTTGACAGTCGTCTTTTTCTGAAGGGTAAATTAGGCTTCACAAATCCCAGCAGCACTTAGTACTTCAGTGACCCTCCCCAAGTCCCTTGCTGGCAAGGGTTGCTCCAGGTTGTTACTGCTGAGAGCTTACACTGCACTAATCCTCCACTAAAGAAAGGTGTGGCTGCCCCTGACACCCCCAGTCCCAAGGTTCTTGTCTAAAAGGCTCAGCTTGAAGAAACAGCCAGAGCAAAGTGCATCTGTACCCCTGAAAGAGAAGAGGGTTTAGGATTTCTGAGGACACACAAAAATTTGGAACTTTAGACAGTATAAAAAAAGAGGTGGTGGGCTAGATCCCACCTAAGGTGAAAGGTGAGGATTTGGGAATTTTGTAGGAGACTCATAAAAGCCTTTTCCCTAGACAAGCAGTATCCTTAGGTAGGTCTTTGTAGGATGTTTTTGCATATTTCTGTATTTTTGTGGACATTTGCTTCTCTTTTACTGTTGCACAAGTCCTTTATCAATACAGACCTGTACATTGTGCCACACTACATGGGTTCCTTAAGTTTTCTTTAAAGCAGTATTCCTTAGGGGGTCCCTGTTACATGATGTGGAAATAATACAAAATTGTTTGAAAGTGAGATCAGTTCTTTATCTGAACTTTTTTATGCAAAATCCTGTATTTTTCACTGTTTTTACCCTGACATGTGGATGGGTCTCTAATATATCTGTTTGAAAGCAAACAAACAAAACCCCTTAGGAATGGAAACAGCCACAGTTTTGGTTTTTCTCTCTGTTTAGAAATGGATGTCCAGTTTTATAGAGGATTAAGCCAGTTAAACATTAATTTTTTTTCATTATTGCACTTCAGTTTGTTGGTTTGGATGCTGTATGGGTTCAGAGCAGGATGTTGATAACTAGAAGAAAATCTGTAGACATTAAATGTAATTTTTACCAAACGAGTGTAGTTACTCAATAAAGTAGGTCTGAAGGTCAATATTTTAGCTTTGTAATTCAAATCCTGAAGATTCATGGTGAAAACATTTGAGCCTGTATTTTTTTCACTGAAGGCAATTTACTGACCACCAAAACTGGTTTCTCTTACATGGAACTTTGGTGTAGTGATTGTATATACATAATACATTAAATAGGAACCATGTGTCATTATTTATAGTAATTTAGTTAGCTTAAAAATATGTTCTTAATCAGTCTGTCTTAAAGGACAGTAAAGACAAATTCAAAACAAATGGGAAAAATAAGTTGAAAATTCTGGATGTTAAAAAAAGGCATGAAGAGCTTAGTGAATTCTTTGATATATGAAGCAGAAGGGGGTAGTGGGTTCTCATGCAAGGGAGTCAGTCTGAGACCTGGATGTGACATCTCTTGAAATTAGCTTTACTAGATCAGTGTAATAGTAAAATTCTGCAGTTCAGGAGAAACTGTAGAGTCCTTTGTAACCACAGCCAAGAGTATGACCTCAGCAGTGGACCTTTTGCTGACGTGTGTCATCTGCTGCTTCTCTGAGGCCGAACACATAATGCTTCTCTTGGCAGAAGCACTTTTTAATATCACCTTTGCAGTTGGTAGCTCAGTACTCTGTAAATTCCACTGCAGCTGTGGTGAAATATCTTCAGTTAATTTCTGTCCTTTTTTTTTTTTTAAACCAGTTACATGGTACATATTACTGAAATATACAGTTCATTTAACAGAAACTGTGAGAAAGAAAATGGGTAAAACTTCCTTTCTAATGTTTGTTTGTGGGTTGTTTTTTCTCCTCAGGTGTCCTTGTTAGAATACCGCAAGAGGCAGCGTGAAGCTCGGAAAAGTGGCTCCAAGACAGACAGCTTCCCCCTGGTTACTGTATCTCCTCATGCTGCTGGTGCAGGAAATACAAGCAGTAATAATGGTGCTAGTGATGGGTATAACAACAGTGCTGAAAATGGGGAGCAAACTGAAAACACTGCAAGCCTGCCTTTACCACTGCCAACTGCTGTTTATAATGCAGCTCCAGAGGACACTGGCAACAACTGTGCAGTTAAGGAATCTTCCTCCAGTGAGAAGAGTGAACCAGAAGTTCAGTGGTGAGCCACAAAACTACAGGATTTCAGTTTAATTTGGAAGAATTATTTATATGAATCTAAGTCTTTGGTATTTGAAATCTATTTTTCATTAAGACTGCTGTTGCAGGTTACTGGCTGGAAGCTCTTCTTCCAGCTCAGTGAAGAGTTGTCTTACCTTTTATCTCAGAAATACAGCAGACACCTCATAATGATTCAATTACATGAAGAATTACCCAGAAGATACTTATTAAATTATTTTATCTTCTAATGGCAAAATAGATATTGGTTTGAGCCTTTGTGTCCTTGTATTTCCACTGCTTTGTCTGTGAGATGAAGAGATTTTTTCCTGTTAAATCTCAAAGCCTTTCCAAAAGTACTGTAGGGCATAAGGTGCAGCAGGAGAAAAATCTGTGCTGATTAGCAAAGGCTTCTGGAAGACCTTAGGAGGTCTGGTTTTCAGTCCTGGCTGGAATGTGTGTGGGATGTTTGCTGTTGCTGAATTGCCCAGTGCAGGGCTGAGTGCAGCCTGGCCAGCAGCTCCTGCTCAGCTGGGAGCATGTGGTGACACAGCATTGTTGGTGTTTGCTCAGTGGTTCCTTTTTGCAGACCATATGGGCAGTGTGTGCAATGCCAGATACTCCAGACAATCCAGATCCTGAGGAGAGGTGGAAGTGTGGATGGGGAGAAGATGGACTTCAGTCTGTGTAAAACACTGCACAGATTTTTCACTGAGATTTGGTAGCTTTAAAATAGATCAGCTGTGGTGACACCGTCTCCAAAACATTAGTAGTGCAAAATAAATCCTGCTGATGTTCTTTGTACTGTAGTGGTGGTGTAACTGTAGTGAGGATGAACCATGGGCTTAGGAATTGAACATCCTTCTACTCAGATGCTCCAGCTGTTCCAGAAAAGAAGATTTTGTAAGCCAGTTGACAGGAGAACATAACAGCCACTTTTCAGTGGAACACTGAACACTGCACTTAAGTTCACTGTGCAGAAGCTACTGCCCTAAATTGTGGAAACAGACTCAACAAGAAGAATTTACTACTTAGATTTTGCAGGAACCCTGCAGAGCAGCACCAAAACTTATTTCAGTGCAGCAGTGTTGTAAAGTGATGCCATACATCCTTGCCAGAAAGGAAAATAGTTTTGTGGAGTGCTGTCACTTAGGATGTTCTTGGTCAGGTTGTGATTGAGAGATGTAATGGGTGTTAAGAGAGATGTGACTGTCACTGCATACCCATTGTCTGGCAATTGAAGTTTAGAAGTTTAGACAGAGATTTGTAGTTGTACACCATTTAGAGCTGTGCATCCGCTATTAAAGAGCAGATTCTTAACAACAAACAAACAAAATTACTACTTCCACTTCTGGACAATGAGAGTTTTCTGCAAATTGAGACTATGAACCAGTACCCGTGACCTTTATTTTTTTACTTTTCAGTTGTTTAGACAGAGAAAAACCCACAGATCTTCAGATACTTCCTTAATAAGAGGAAATGCCAGTTTTTTAATGTAACATGGTTGCAGGAAATGACTGTATTTAAAGTGGGAGAAAATAGCTACAAACCACTTAAGTAATAATATTCCTTGTGCACAACCAGTTATTTGGTTGTTACATGCAGCCAACACTGTAGATTTTCTCTGACTCTGTATTTGCATCTACCTTGTCCTAAATTTGGGCCATGGGAGTACATCCTCTTAAATTTAAAATGGCCTTCTCTTGCAGGACTGCATCAACCTCTGTGGAACAAGTGAGAGAACGAAGCTACCAGAGAGCTTTACTTCTCAGTGATCATAGGAAAGACAAGGACAGTGGTGAGTTGATTCACTGTTTTTGAAGATACATCAGTCTAACCAGTTCCCCTGTGGTAATCTGTAATAATTCTAATAATGTGTTTGGGTCTGCTTCATCTGTAGGGGGAGAATCACCTTGTAGGCCATGCTCACCGTCTCATGTTCAGTCTCCATCTCATTCAAATCTCATTTCCCAGTTGCAGCTTAAGGCCCCTTCTTTCACTGAAATTACAGAAGGTCAGTAAGCAGATGACCTTGTATGACACTTGAGATATTCAGTGGTCTAACAACAGCTTTAATAGCTCTTTTAAAGTCAAATATAAAGTGCTTAGTGATTTCTGCAAAAGATTTAATTTTCCCGCTTTGATATTTATGTCTGCTTTATCTCTGTAGAACCTGATTCTGAAAATCCAGAGCCAACGTCTGAATGTCCGTCCCCAGATACTTCCCAAAGGACTTGTAAGAGTCCATCAAAAGCAAGCAAGGTAATGCAAGGTGTTTGCACAACATGCATAGGAATAGCTCCATCCAGCTCTGATTCACCTTTAAAAATGTTAATTGTAGGATTTACTACTTTGGTGACATACACACATTCATCTACCTGTGCAGTAATTCAACATAGGTAGATATTTGCAAGAATATTTGTCCATATACACTAAAAAGTGGGTTTATTTGCTGTGCTTTCAGTAGGTTTGCATGTTTATGGATGAGAGAAGAGATTGTATCTGTGCTGTTCTGAGGTGTGAACGCTGAAGAACTGGCACTCAGAACCAACAGCTGTGATGTGACTTACCCTTAACAGGAGCTTGCTCTTGCTCTGCAAGAGTTTGGCATTGTTTGGCAGTCTGATAATATGGAGAAAGATGTTGAGTAGTGAAGTGATTCAGGTTGTCATGTTTAGTCTGTTTGCTTGCACTACCTCAGCTTTAAAATTTTCAGTCACTCTAAAAATTGCTTTATTCCTGTAAGTGGTCTTCTCTGGAATTACTTCTTTCAGATTCAGAAATCTACAACTTTTAACAAAGAATGGATTCAGACTTTGACCTAATGGATCATATTTCTGTTACAACTTTAAAATATACTTCAGTAGTCTTTGACTTGGAAGAATTATTGATATATACTTGATAAAAATAGTACCTTCTCAAGCTTACTCTGTTACTGATGTTTTTCTCGCACCAAATACATATCCTTCACCTTAGCACTTCTTCTCACAATCTGGGGAGGAGAGTGTTCTGAGATGTTCTTTTTTGTTCATTGCATGCATGGTTGAACATTTCAGACACTGAGCACTGACTGCCTTTCTTTCCATTCCAGCCCTCTTCGCCGAGTCCTGTAGTTTCAGCACAGCCTCTGGGGAAAACCCCCACCAAACCAGATTCGCACTGGGAAACTGCAGCTGCTGCACCCGAGACTGAAAGTGCGAATCCTCCCAAAGCTGAGCTGCAGCAGAAACAGCTGACAAACAACGTCCAAGCACTTTCAAAAACTCATCCATCTCAGTCACATCTGCGCAGCTCTGCTGAGCAACTTTCACATTCACAGAAGTTGCCTTCCGCACCTTTGAAGCTGCATTGCCCCCCTTCGCCTCACGTGGAAAATCCCCCCAAGTCCTCCACCCCCCATGCGCCTGTGCAGCACGGTTACCTTTCACCAAAGCCTCACTCACAGCAGCTGGGATCTCCATACAGACCTCATCACCCACAGTCACCTCAAGTTGGGACGCCCCAGAGGGAAACACACAGGAACTTCTACCCGGCGGCGCCGGCCCTCCAGCCCAGTAACCAGGCGCAGGCTGGCGGCCCCCTCTTCCCACAGACATCGTCAGGACAATCTTCAGCTTCCTACAGCCAGTTTAACCAACAAAATTTGAACAGCAATGCCCCACCTCCCCCACCCCCTCCGCCCCCTTCTTCCACTTACTATCAAAGCCAGCAGCCCTCTGGAAACTTCCAGAGCTACAGCCAGCTGAAGGGCAGCATACCCCAACAGACTGTGTTTTCATCTGGACCAAATCAAGCACTTCCTGGCACTGCGGGTCAGCAAACGGTGCCGGGCCACCACGTAGCTGCAGGGCATTTTTTGTCCTCTCAGAACCCCAATATTCATCACCAGGCATCGGCATCTGCTGCTCCTCCTCCTCCTCCACCGCCACCTGCTCCAGGACCCCACCTTGTCCAGCAGCAAAGTACTCATCAGCAGCACTCTGTAGCACATGTTGTCGGTCCGGTTCACGCCATGGCAGTGGCTCCTGGATCACACATTCATTCTCAAGCTGCTGGTCACCATTTGCCACCGCCACCTCCGCCACCAGGTCCTCTCCCCCACCACCAAGCTCCCCATCCCACGACGGGACACCAAGGTTTGCAAGCACAACACCAGCACGTTGTAAACTCGGCACCGCCTCCCCCGCCGCCCCCTCCCTCCGGCGTCATGGGCTCGGGGCACCACCCCTCATCAGCACAAGGGTTACACCACCCCTCTCATCAAGGACCCCCCCATTTCCCTTCCAATGCCCACACGAGCGTCTCCTCCTATTCCTCTCAAGCCCCACATCACACAACGTTAGGACCTGGACCTCAACATCAGCCTGCTGGCACAGGACCTCATTGCCCGCTCCCTGGTCAGGGTCCTCACATCCAACCTCAAGGACCAAACGCTATTGCAACACCCACTGCTTCCGGCTTCTGCCCACACCCCGGCTCCGTGAGCCTGCCCCACGCAGTGCAGGGGCAGCAGCAGGCCTCGCCCGTGCCAGGACAGATCCCCATCCACAGAGCACAGGTGCCACCCACCTTCCAGAACAATTACCACGGCTCGGGGTGGCATTAAAACAGATCCCTTTAGTTATAAACATTTTTAAAATGTTCTGTAATATAAACTGTGTATATTTAATATGTACCTATTCAAGGTACTTTTTAAAGCTTGTACATGATACTTTGTATAAAAGCAAACACCAGTGCTCTTCCATTGTATCCTTTCCATTTTTTGCTTTTTAAAATTCCTGAAAACGTGCTGTTAAGCCAGTATTAGGTATTTCTTTTTATTTTGTAAGTGGACATTCCAGCTGTTTTTTCTGGCAGTAGGTTTGATGCTGCATAATGTTTAAAATTTTATTGTTGCAGTTAAATTCATTTAGTGAAAGTTTTCTATATTACTTTTATACATATGTAATTAAATAAGTACACAGGCTAAGTGATGGCACTAACAATTTTTTTTCCATTTTCTGTCAACAGTTTTTTGTGTGCATAGAGATAGGAAACAATGCAATACAGATTTTTATAGTTTTGGTGTGGACATGGCTTTTTGTTTCATCAGTTATTTGCAGAAATTGTAATTTAATGTATAGACTGTTTCTAATGTCTCGGACGAGTGCTGTAAATACTGTATTTCTTTCGCTTGTAAAGTTGCTTAAAGCTTCTTTCATTTGATATAGTATTGTATATAATAAGTCTTTTGCAAAAAAAAAGTGTGATCTTTGTGAAAGTAGTACAGTATATGATCTTTAATTTTTTTTAATATACTGTCACATTGCAGCACTGGTTGGGCATTTTAATTCATGTTAATAAATCACAATTATGTCAGTTTTACCTACTTGTCCTGAAAGGGTGCTATATCAGCAGGAAAGTGGCCTTAAGTCTCTGATGTCCCTGCTCCCTGTGAGGCTCTTCACTTCTCTGCGGTTTCCAGCTGTGGCTTCCCTGCTGTAGCACAGACAGATGTGGAACAGCCTGGAGGAGGGGGATTCTTTCCCCTGCTCCATTCAGAGGTTGAGGAATGATCACCCCCAGCACAGCAGTGTCCTGTATTTACCACGAGGGTCAGCAGGGCATTTTTATGCTAGAGGTGACCTTGGTCACAGAGCAGGGAAGCACCTGCCCGCTGCAGGACCTTTCTGCTGGGAGGAGCTGTGTGGCAGTCTGGGGTTTTCCTAAGGGAAGTGATTGATTGCTGCTGCTGCAAGCGGCACTAAGATGGTGCTGTTGTGCTCCTCAGTGCAGCCACTCTGTCTGGGTGAGGCTGTCCCTCCATCTCAGCAGGAGCTGCTCTCAGTGCTGCTCACACAGCAGGAGCTGCTCAATGGCTCGAGCAGAGAGCAGATCCCATGTGTGAGGAACCCTGAAAGGGCACAGGAGGGAAAGTGGCTGCTCCTACCCACTAAAAAAAGAGTTAAAAAAGGGGGCCACCTTAAATTCTGATTTGCTTCTAACTACAGAAGAATCTTGCTAGTTAAAATCATACACTAGAAGTGCTTTCCTGAAGACTTGCTGGCTCTGCAGCATGCACACAAGTTCCCATTTTACACTAGCATGTGTAGTGTAGGACAGCATAAGGCTCTCAAAAACAGCAAAAAAAACCAATGCAACCTCTTTGCAGTTGCTCAGACACTGATTCTGATGTGCATCATCCTGTCTAGCCCAGAATCCAGATCTGGTTGCCTCTCTTCCACACCTCCAGCAACAAAATCATTTCAAACACAAGAGAACGTTAAATACCCAACTGTGCTTGGCAAGGTCTGAGTGCAGTTCAGGGAGCTGCTGCGCTGGGGAGCACAACAGCACAAGGCCTGGGCAGGGCTCCCAGTGCTGCTGCAGCACCAAGGCCGGGCAGAGGCAGAGCTGTGCCAGCCTTGGGCTGCCCCTGGCACTTCATTCCAGTGCCAGCATCTGCTGTGTAGTCAGGAATGCATTTGTAACCAGGCACTGCAGAGCTGGGCTGGGTGTGAAGCTGAATGTAATTTTTACCTCCATTGTGGCATCGTCCTGAGCAGCGTTGTCCTTGCAGCCACAAAGAGCAGTTCCAGGATGAGGGTGAAGGGACTCGGTCCTGAAACCCAGCTGCTGCAGAGGCCTCAGCACTGGACATGGACAAGAGAGTTTCACACTGTGGTGCCTTGGCAGTCTCTGCAGGAGTGGCTGCCCCAGCTCGGGACGGCACAATCGTTCCCTTGTTTACAGGACACAGCTGGTAGGAAAGACGCTTTTTTTTGGTCACATTTCACCCAGCAAACCACTCCCAGCCACAGCCCCTCCTGCCACAGGGCCTGTGGGGCTGCTCTGACCCACACCAGGTGATGTGTTCCTTAAATGAACATCTGAGCTCCTTTCTCTGGCCAGGACAGGCCCCCACCTCCCACCCCTCCAGCACCCCCACCGCTGAGTCGTGGCTAGGCAAAGATTCCAATGACCAGCAACACTGTCTGAAAAAACAAAACACTTTAATTAGACAACTGCAAGCACCTCAAACAACTGGTTATTGTTACAGCATGGGGCTATCTTCTCACAATCTAGTTATTGCAAAGGCATGTGAATAAATTTTATATGGACAAAGTCAAGAAAAAAGTGGCACTGTAGTTACATGAAGATCAGGAGTAAGCTTACATTCATCCCACTGACTTCTAAAAGAGGCCCAAACACACCTCCGTACTGTACATTCTAAAATCTGTATTGCCTATAAGCTTCAGCCTATGCAGCTTTTTTCCTAGGAAACACATAATTGTTGCGTGCAACTTACGATGGGCAGTCGTATGTCTACGGATGGGAAAGAATAAAGCTAGTGCAATTTGTTTTAGAAACATGTAAAGCTATGAATGGAATGAGCATGATCTTGCTTCTTGGATTATTTAACCCACTGCACTGTAAATATCTGCAGCTATATCCTTCCTTAACTGATGCCAAGCACACACTTTTATTATAAAAGATCAGTAATTCTACACAGAGAGTGGTTCTCATGCTCTACTTTTAATTTTTTTTCTTTTTCTTAAGGTATAGTACAACTTACAGTGCTTATAAAAAGGCAACACCATATGGTACCATGTCTTCACTATCACATTGTAAGGGAAATTGCTATTTTTCTTTTCTTAAAAGCACTTAAAATAGGCAAAAGTTCTAAAAGGGAGTGCTAAATGATAATGCATACTTTATTAGAAAGAAGTCTAGCCTTCCTTTAAAGTGCCGTTTGGGGAATGAAATCCTGTAAACCAGAGCCACTTTGTTTAAAACCCAATGAACAGGAACTGCTACAGAATAGAAAGTTTACACAATTCCTTAAAGCAGTTTAAAGTCCACTACATGCAATTGGTTTGCTATAAAGCTCTCTAAAACTTAGTCGCTTTACTCTGAAATTGAGTCCCCAGTCCCATATTTAAATGGAAATAAACATTTACAGGGTGCATTTACATACACTATAATACAAGAATGACATCCCTTTGCCAGAAGATAAAATTGTACAATTCCTTGCCGTAACTCAGTTCTGACTTGATAAATTTCTTACACTCGTAAATTATATAATATGCATCAGCTAAAATATTTTTTTTTTTTCATAAATAGTTACAAAACTTGCCAAAACACATGGGGGGAAGTTTCTTTTGTTCAAAAATCTGACATCTGAATGTCACACAACACAAGAAACAATGCTTAAAGACACGTTAAGTGTTTTCTGAAGAAAGTGGGTGAGTAAACTACTAGCTGAGGACAAAAAGACTACCCTTCCCCAAGAACACAGTGCACAAAAAGCAAAATGTCAAACAGTACCTCAAGCAAAATAAAGGTCTGAGGATTGAAGCCAGCTCACGTGTGATCCTGCTAAAGATTTTGTGACAGTCACCATTTAGGTCCAACGCATTGGAAAGTGGTTGCTGGCTTTTTTTTTTTTTTTTTTTTTTTTTACAGCTGGGAGATTCTGCTAAGAATTCAGCCACGGATGCCTAAGGCATTCTCCAGCTGAAGCACGTTTCTCTGGGACCATTTCTAGCATGGGGATCAGGAAATCTGTAAACTGTGCAGCATCTTCATGAGGCCAACCATACTTCTCCACAAGCACATCAAAAAGACTCCAAGGTTTCAACTTGGTAATGTGTCGGAGTTCTCCTGCAAACAGAAATATTGATGGCATTAGAAATCAAACACCCTTTTACTTGTGTCAGTGACTAATCCCTGTTTGTTTCTCTCCCACTCTGCATTCACAGCACCTTGCCCGGGCTGGCAGTCGCTGTTTAGGAAGGGGAGTGCACACCAAGCTTGCTCGAGGTCATCACAGGAGAGGGGTGTGTTCCATGTCCAAGCCAAAAACTGTTCCTACAGCCATCAATCAGCACGTTACACCTGGACTCCAGTGATGCTTCCTGCTGATTTCACTCTCCTGTGCACACAGGCACTCATGCTCCCACCATGGCCAAACCTCACTGCAGGCCTCTCCTTCTCCATCAACCAAGGAACCCAAATTTCACAGAATCTGCTCCAATCCCAAGATGGAGGGCTCAGAAACACAGGTCCTTGCCTCACCACGTGGCATTTGCCAGCAATGCAGCACAGCACTGATTCATCCCTAGCCAAGCCAAGCAGGGGTTTGGTGCTCCAGATTCTGCTCCATCTCCCAGGCAGACACCCCCAGAAAGGCTGGTCTGAGTCCCCCTGAGAGGGAGGCACCTGCTGCTGCCCAGGTCTCTTTCAACCAACCACCAACAAAAACGGTGGCAGCAGCTCAGGACTGGGGCTCCCCCCAAGAGGGGAGACTTTGCCAACCTGACCAAAAGGAAGGAGGTGAGAACTGTTCTGCCATTCAAACCAGCAACACTACCCAGGGCTGTCCATGGGTCATCCAGCACGATGGGGAAAACTCTTCAGGTTCCTGCTCCTCCACTGTGTAGGAATGAGGCCCAAAGCCATGAGATTGCCATGAGGTACGCGGGGAAGGGATTGCTGTGGGCACAGGAGGGACGAGCAGCTGCCAGGCCGAATGAGCCTCACTGCTGCCACCAGGACACTGATCTGCCACCTTGTACCACAGCCTCTGCAATCCAGGCTCTCAACAGCCCTCATTCACACGTGGTGTGGCTGCCCCCTCACCACTCAGGATGGCAGTAACAGGGAATTTCACTACAGTCACACCTCCACTTCTCCCAAAAGTGTAAATCTGACATGGGACATCCTCCTTGGAGAGGATGAAAACAAGACCCCACCTTGCAGACAAGTCAACAGGTTTGCTCCTTTCTCCTCCCCCAAGCAGGGACATCTCTTTGGTAACATCTGCCTTCTGTGTCAGACCACAGCCAGGAACACCTGTGTGCAGTGCACTTACACTCTGCAGATCCAGGGCATTTATCACCAACAATCTAATGAAACTCTGGCCTCTTGCTGCAGCAAACTACTGCAGCTGGCCATGAATCTGTGTATGTGAAAGCTCTTTCTGAATGTGACCAGACTTAAGACTGCCTGATCTGTTCTGATCAGGAATTAAGCCCTGCCACACCCAGCCCCTCTGATGTTTGGGCACCAGCTGAAACACAAGGGCAGATGTTTTCTGCTGAATTTCTATACTCTTAATGCAACCATCTTGAGCATGTGTATAAGGCAGACAATCTCCACTGGACACTGCAAAAAGCACTTGAGAGACTCCTGTGGTGCTTCTGCACTGAGCAGAGTGCTGGGGTCTCACCCAACACTGGAGGCTTCACAAGCTCACTCCAACACCTGGGATGGGGCATCCAGGCCACACTGCTTGTCACCCAAGTGGTTTCTCAGCGTGCTGCTTGTCCCTGCTGTAACCTACTGCCCATAAAATGCCATCTGACACCAGCTCATGGCCAGTG